CACCAGCACCAGCAACACCAGCACCAGCAACACCAGCACCAGCAACACCAGCACCAGCAACACCAGCACCAGCAGCAACGACAGCAGACGGTGCCTTCTGGCCCTCCCCTGCCCGGAACCACTACCAATGTACATGCTCATTGACTAGAGCAAGACCTCGTTTGACTATGTTACTGACTATGTACTAGGCCGGCGTGAAAAAGAGGCGCCACCGGAATCGAAAACCCGTCAGTATTCTGTTCTCTTTCATTTCTCAGCAGCAGGTTGAGCTAAGTTTCGTATTTATGTAGGGGCATGGGAGGTCTGTGGCTGGGCATGCCCATCAGGCAGCCCGCCGGGAGCAGTACAAAGCGAGGAAGGCGGCAGGAGGGGATGGCAGCGGGGCCGCCGTGGAGGCGGAGGATGTGGAGATGAACCTCGGACTGGCGGCGGCGCCAGTCGGCGAGGAGGGTGTGGGAAAGGGCGCTAGGGTCGCCGTGTGGCAGGACGCGTTGGGAAGCCCCTTAAGCATGTAACGTGTTTTTGGTCCTATATAATACATATTTATTTTGGGTGTGTTCAAACCCCCTCGAGTCATCCCTCGAATCACTCCTCACAACCACGTCGGGATCTAAGCCCGCGTACGCCGAAAGATTGCGGCCAAAGCGCAGGAGGGCCGTTAAGTTGGGCGTTTCTATTCCGCGCAAAATATCACGCTCAATGCTCCGAGAACGCGGGCCACCGGAGACTACAACACGCGGCCTGTGCCACCTGTCATGATGCTAGGGCACAAAAGTTTTGGTTGATGTTGTGTGTGACTTTGGATTGAAGTTCTTGGATACCAGGCAGTTGGTTCAGTGGGTTCCGAACTCCCACTGCTTTTTCATGAGACCGTGTCCTGCACACAGTTGGGAGGCTCCCGAGGGAGGTTCAGAGTTCAACGATTTCACCAATCCAGGATACGGGCTGGGATATCACGATGCGAAAGAGAAAGATGCCCAGTGCACAGGTAAAGGAAAGCCGGGAGAGCACCGCGCATAACTGTATGTAAGAAGGAAGAGTGAGTACCTAAGGTATCATCTAGACTGACACTGACCATGACAGGAAAACATCCCCCAACCGTAACCACCTATACCCCTTGGTAGCTTTTTGAATAAGAGGAGGGGAACTGTTGGAAAAATAAGACGGGGAGGACAGGGAGGATATGGAAATCTGCTTCCACCCACGGAGCCAGAGACGGCCTGGAACACCGATCCCCTCCATTCCCAACCCCAACCTCGGATATCCCACATATACAACATCAAACAAGCAAACCACCGCCGCCATATATGAATTCATGAGCCGAGAAGCAACGCATGAAGATGCCTGGGTATAAGGTTCCAACCGCTCAGGATGACCGCCCCCACCAACCCGGCTGCCCCCCAACGCCTTCACAAAAACCCCCTAGAGACAACAGAACCGCAAAACAGAGAATCACCAAACCCCTTTTCCCCTCTACACACAAGCCATAAGACTCACTCCGTAGATTAAAAGAAAGTCGGCTTGGTAAGGACGCGATACTCGACATAATCCTCGCCGTCGATACTGATAATAGTGCCCTGGCTGACGAGCTTGCCGGCAAACGGGCCGCTTTGCTTGCGTTCATACTTGACGCCCATGTAGACTTTGGCGTCCTCGCCGCCGGCCCTGATGCGGTTTGCCTCCTGGGCCGCCCAGACCTTGTTCAGTCTCGAGACGTTGTCCTGGAAAAAGGAAGCGGCTCCGACCGAGGCCTCGCGGGCGGCGGCGCGCTGGTCGGCGCGCGCCTGTGCGGCCTCGAGACGGGCAATCTCGCGGCGGGCGATCGAGTTTGTGCGCTCCAGTACGCCGGGCCCCGGAGGAGGAGGAGCTTGGCGATTAGCCGAGCGGAATTCAGGAACGTCGGGAATGCTGTACCGCGGACGGGGGCCGTTTTCGAGGCGGCGTGACTGGCGCAGCTCATCGTTTTTGGCGGCAAGAGGTGCAGTACCGGTTGTTGTTGTGCTGTTGGTCGTATTGTGTCCTTTACCGTTTGTAACGGGGGACCCCTTCATTGCGATCGGAGGCAGATCGGTCTCGTCCTTCCGACTGGGGCCGCCGACGGCGACACTGTTGGAGGCTCGTTTCTGGGCCTCATAGACTGCCTTATTTTCGTTTGCAATCTGGTCCTCAGGAGACTCGCCGAGGTCGATCTGATGCTGGCGGATTCGGCAGTATTCCTTGACCTCCGGCCTACTAAGATTCTTGAGGTGAGGTTCAAACTCGACCTCATCCCAATGGATCCAGAGGGCACCAGCGCCGTTGGGGAAGTTGCCAACAACGGGCCGCCCGTCACGAGTCTCGCGGGTTAGTTTGACCCGGAACATGTCATTGGCGCCGAGAATACCGTACACCGCATGCTTGTCGGCGGGATCTTGTTCACTGGATTGCTTCCAATAGCCGAGAAGGATCCTGGTAGGACGGGTTCCCGGGAGGTTATCGACTGGCTGCTGAGAGGGAGCTGCCGGCTCGTTCGAAGGGCCAAAGGACCCAGCAAGCCGGCGCTTTTTGGTCTCGGGTCGATTAGGAAGGATGGCATTTTCGGGAATCTCGGGGCCATATGCCACCAAGGGTTGAGTAGCCACATCAGGTGGCGGGTTGTTTTTCACATGCTCAGCTGCCAACCGGGCTGCTTCCTGATCCAATCTGGCCGCCTCTTCTGGAGTCCCGTCCTTGCTGCTCTTTTCGGCGCGGATCTTGACAAACTCCTTGACCACATGATGATTGTGGCCGACAAGATGGGCATCAAAGGCAACCTTATCAAATGTGACCCAGCTACCGCCGGGCCCGGGCGGGATTGGATACCTCTGATCCACAGGCCGGCCATCGCGAGTTGTCGCTTGGATGCGAGTTCGTAGGCGGTCCCTAACATCAATGAACCCAACGACGCTATGCTTATCGGCATCGTTTTCGATGGGCGAATCCCGCCAGAAGCCAAGGACGACGCCCTTCACACCGCCGGTGCCATGTGTTTTGGCAGGGCGAGCCATGCGGCGCGGTTCCGGCTCTTCGGCAGGTGCCGGGCTGTGCCCATTCTCGTCGATTGAGTCAGCATAGACGCCTGAAGCTCGCTTACGCTTCAGCTGCTGGGTGGGGATAGGCTTGTCCTCAGCATCATCCATCATGCTGTCCTCGGGGTTAGGGGTGACCCGAACTTGGGATGTCGTGTCATTATTCATTTTGGTCCCAACGACGATCTCATCCTCAAGGGCATTGACGGGGATACTGGAGGTTTGGCTCAAGGTATCGTCAACAGGGCTGTCCGGTGGTGGAGTAAGCTCTTCATTATTGTCCTCATTGTTCGCTCCGTTGTTTTGGAGCTCGTTGCGCTCGATGATTCTCTCAACGCCCTGCTGGGAATCCTGGATGTTGGCCTCGTGGTCATGGCTGGTGTCCTCCCTATAAGACGAATGTACAGTTAGACTCAGTGGCCTGAAAACCGAGAGATATAAGTAAAAGCTCACATGTTTGCCACATCAGCTATTGAGGGCGTGGCACGCTCAGCTGAGCGAAGTTGTTCCTCAGGGTCACTTCGGCTCCTGGGCTTGGAAACAAAGGAACTAATAGGCAGATTTCACAAGTCAGAGTCTCAACGAGAATTTCAGACGAGTGAATGCAGATTTCTTGTTGAAAAATTTGCAGGACAATGCTCGGCGTGGTGGACATTCCTTGCCATTCCCTGTCACGAAGAACAGAAAGAGACGCAATCATGAACACTCACCTTTCGATCGAGTCTTGGTGAATCGGGGTCTGGACAGCTGGTGATTCAGAAGGCTCCATGTCACTAAACAGCATTCTGTTAGCCACCGCAGTGTGGACATAGGCAGCCGTTGCCCCCTTGAGAACCGGGATGCCCTCCAGCTCTGTGGGACTAGAAATATTATAGGTGGGGATGGTGCCCAAGAGACAACTGGGCTAGGAGAAGCTGACTCGCCTTATGGAATGGGATTGCAATAGCATCGCTCTGGATTTGGTCCCTCTTGTTAGTCCTTGGAATCCTTGCTTGTAACAGTCTGAAAAGAGGAGTAGATTGGACCCGTGGAAAAACAGGAATTTTGAGAGGAAGCAAGAAGACAATGGCCCGGGAGCCACTTTAAACTTCCTATAGAGGGCACCCAGAAGCTGTGAAGCGAATGTAGAACGCATTATGTGATGAAAAGTGAGACTATTTGGAGACCATGTCCCCATGTGTCTCCCAGTTGGAAAATGGGAACGCTGCAACGACGTCTCGAAGAACAAGAGGAGATAGAAGGGTTACTTACTCATCAGAGGGCTCATCCTTGGCTTGGGTCGCTTCAACCACGCTAGACGGCGAGAAGTCAAGGGAGGGCGGCTTATCAGTTGCGCCGAGAGACTCAACGAAGGAGTCCATCTCGTCGGCGCTGGCTGCCGTCAATGACATGATGGCCAATATTGATCCTGGCAATCCCTGTCAGCGCTGATGTAGAGGGAAACTGTCATCAACGAGAGGATTATGGTAGACAAAAGTCAAGCGGTGGGTTGGGCTTAAGAGGGCCCGAGTCTAGTTTTGCCTGGAAGTTGTGAAACTCTGGCAAGCAAAACTCGTTGAGTCTAGGATGAAAATGAAAAGAGCCAGGCAATAAAGACTGACGGCCCGCAGGAATGATGTCGTTAGGAGAAGAACGACGGCGTGTAACGAAGAGTCGTGGTATGAAAGTGTTATCTTGGAATAGGGTAGGACCTCGACACGTCGACGTCGACATAATGCGCCATGCATTCTGTTGCAGAATTAAGAACAAGAGTAGTTAAGTCTCTTACCGAATCTTATGAGACGGTCAACTCAGGCCAGGTGTGTCAGTTATGTTGTTTGTCAACAGGTCGTGAGTCTTGTTCCCCTTTAAGAGATCGTGTAAACTGCGAGCGCGACAACACAGAACTGGGCTCTAAGCAATTGGTTGTATCCGTTCCAGATTACGTGTTGTTAATAGAGCAACCAGTGAGATGAGAAGGTCTTAGTAGTGCACTCAGCGATTCAAGACAACTAAGACTCAGCCAAAGACCAAGAGTATCGTATCTAAAAGAGCAGAAGCAGGAGGAACAGATGGGAAATAGGGACGGTATGGCATGAGAGGAAGGAAGAGGGAAGGGTGGGTGGGAAGGAGTGAACTGGTCTAAAGTGGGTTGATAATAATATTACTGTACTGAAACCTAGGGAGACAATGGCCCAAGTAAAGCTAAGGTAGATACCGTAGGATGACAGGATGATTCATCTGCCTTCAGCCAAATTGCACCAGTTCAAGAGCTTCTTGGATTGGACTAGGGGTTAATAAGCGAGGGACTCTTGCCAGAATGCCAAGTTCCAGTCTTCCATTCCCAGGCAATCCAGGCAGTAGCAAACACTAAATTGTTCCTTCGCAGAGAATGACAGCTTTCCCAACAGACGAGAATGTCGAGAAGTGGAAAATCCATTGGCATTTATTTGCTTTTGTCCGGCTATCCACTGTTAGCTCTAAGCTCGCCCTCGTGTCTTTTACACGGGTACTCATGCAAGTTTGGTCGACTGGGAGTTTGAACCATCTGAAACGATCTGTCTGTTGCATCAATATGATGCAACGTGTCGAGCTACACAGAATACTGTGGTATATTCTGCCAATCCGTTCCGCCGGGTTTCCCAAATGTCGAGTCCCGTCATCCGGTCAGAAGTCGGGTTTGCAAAAGGAGTATTGTGAGGAAAACTCTTGGTGTAGATAAGGACATTGCCTGTTATAGATGGAACTATGTGTATGTAATTTCCATGCAATACTTTGTCTCTATCAATACAGTGAATACAGTTGAGATACGGAGGTAGTTTCTTCTCCAAAAGAGATCTCCGTATCAGGACTGCAATGATTGTCATCATCGCTTATCAATAGCATTCTGGAATAGTGAATCCGAGTACACTGCAATTGAGGGGATGGGTATTAAACTATTAATCGGCGTGATGTCTTAATAGTTACCTAGGTCCTCACAGGCTCAAAACGCCAACGACTCGACGCTTCTCTCGTTGCAGAGAGCGGGCATTCAACTATGCTCCACTAACTTGCGCATATTCAACAACCCCATTGGTCAGTTGTCTCGCAACTCAAACCAAGAACAAACCCCAGCCTAAAACCGGGAACCAACAGACTGTGTAATGCAACAGAATGGAGTTCCTGTAGCTCATACGTGCACTTCATACATGGCCTTATCTACCAGAATATACAATACAAAGCGAGGCCAATGATTGTCTTTTTCCCCTTGACCTGGATTGTTCATGTTATGCCGAAGTCCACCAAGCAAAGTGGGTTGTCAGTCAGAGACAAGAAACAAGGAGGGACTTTGAGCCAAGGTCACGTTCAGCCATCACGGCAGAATTTTATGCCCGGCAGTTTTGGACGAACTTCCCCATCATGTGATTCTCTATATGTATATGTACTACCCAACCAACACAACGTTGTTATCAATGGAATATATGAAGTTTCGGGATTGCCAATTGTTTCATCATCATTGGACTCCCCGAGGTGTCAGTCATGCGTATCTATCGACCACGCATGCCGAACCAAACCACATACCGTGGTTCTGTCTTGAATTGCTCAAACAAATTTCCATGTAAATTGACCGATTTGAGAGGTCATGACAGTAGAGTCCGAGGGTCCGAGATTCCGTCAGCTGTGAGAGAGATTGCGCCTTCAATCTCGCAACCGGAGAATGAAGACACTTTAACTCACACAGCGGGACTTGCTAATCCTCGGCAAGTGTGAGACCCCGACTCATTCTGTGCGCTGTGTAACAAATAGCGCACGGCTAGCTGCTTGCTGCTAGGAAAAGACGCCGTCAGCAAAGCTTTGTGCATGGAATACGAGTCAAAGCCGCGTAGTCAAAATTGCTTACACTTGGATTGAACAAGCTCGTCTCGGCTTCGGGACGCTTTCCGGGCTGGGCGATTCAAGGAGGGCTGTGTTGTTTGGACAAATGGTACTGTCAATGAATACCTGCTTTGAGGCATGAGAACAACTTGCTCACCACGCTTTGCTCGCACCCCTTGCTAACAAGAGCGGAAATCAGTTCACTCTCTTAGAAGGCTTTGCAACCAACTCAACCCTCCTACTATCCTCCCATTTCACTCCCATCAAGCAACTACCTCCCTCGTCCCCTTCCTCTCCCACCACGACCCCACCTCCCACCACCATTCCCATTCCCACTCCTCGCCCCTCCCCCATATTTCTTTCCCCCACTTTTCATGTGGCCTCGAGCATCAAACCTCTCATAGATCCTCTCCTCCCCAAACGCTGCCTCCGCGAAGCGCATGTAATTGATCACCCCATGATCGACCACCGCTACCAGGCCGTTCCGGTGACCGTGCTTCAGCCGTGCGTACAACCTACCGGGGCCCGTCCACTCGGGCTTGCCCGGCGCATGCGGCGTGGCGTCGAGCAGGGCGGTGATCTCGCGCAGCGTTGGAACGGCGGATTCCTGCGCGTCGACGACGGCGAGGTGAAAATCTGGCGGGGGGTGCCGCAGTTTGGTCCACTTCTGCGCCGCTTTCCAGACGTGGAAGTGAATTGCAAAGGGTTCACCTGGGGAGTTTCGGGGATTTGAGGGAGAACGGGAGGGTTTGTGTAAGGGGATAAGGGCCATTTGCCGGTATATCGAGGTGTAGGAGCGGTAGAGGCCTGGTCGGACGAGCGGGCCGTAATGTTTGTGATGCGGTTGCGAGGTAAGAATCGAGGTGAGCCATTGCCAGAGGGTTGTCGTGGTCGCCACTGTTGGGCAACGGGTTGGTTGAGTGGTAATGGGTGGTGCCCGCAGGACGTTGTAGCCGCACCGCTTGAGATTCGAGTAGACCTGGAACTTTTGCAAGCTGATCTTGCCTCGCTCGTCGTCCTTACCGATGAGCAGCGCGTATGCCGCCTGGAGACTGAGCGGGAACCCCAGGTCGTACTCGTCGAGCTCCTCTCCTTCGCCTTCCTTAGGGGTCGTCTCAGGGGGGAATATCTCCTCTAAACCCCTCGTCGGCCACCACAGGTCCAATGAGCCCCTTTCGACCAGATATAGCGCCTCTTCAGGCAACAGCCAGTCTTTTCCTCTAGCAGGCCTATCCTTCGCCTGCCCCGTAACCGCCCGTCCGAGATTCATGCTCGCCACCGAAGACCCCTCCAACACAACCACCCTCTCCCTGATATACCCAAACGGTCTCCTCTCCTTTTCCATTTCCTTGCCCTCCCCAGCAGACCCAGCTTCCCCCTCCTGCAGTTCCTCCTGGTATCCTTCCCACCATTGAGGAAAGTACCAGCCCCTCGCAAGATTCCTCTGCGGCCCTGTATGGACTCTCGTATAGCTCAAGACATCCCGCATAGCGGCTCTGCTCTGCTCGAGAGCCTCGACCTGCGCTCGCGTGCCGTGCGACTCAAAGTCCTTCTCACCCTTGCGGATCGTCTGCGCCGAGACATGAGCATTTTTGCGGAAAAGTCGGAAGTCCTGCGACGCGGTGCCCTCGTCTTCAATCAGGTCGTCTACTGAGAGGGCATCTGGAGACACGTCCGGGGGAAGCGCGGCCGAGGAGGAAACGCCCGAGATGATAGGGCTGGCCACGCCGACAGCGGGGTTGTCATCGTCGTCAAGGGACATTGAGGGTTTCCTTTGTTTTGTTGGGGTCTCTGTGCTTTTGGCTGCAGTCGCCCTACCAATGGTCTATTGGATCTGACGCTTGGGGTCCCTGAAATCGGCTTCTTAATCCACCGTGCACGTAGCACTACCACCAATTTTGTTCACAGCAGTCTACATCAGCAATTGTAGCTGAATAATTGTGAGCCAAGTGAGTCGGCCTAGGAGTCTGATCGGATGCAACGTGGGCGATGATTGATCGATGAAAAAATTCTCGAGGCCTCCTGAGCGGGCGACTTAAGACACGTCAGGGAGCGCGGCTGAGGACGTAATGCTGGAGATGATAGGGCTGGCCACGCCGACAGCGGATTGTCATCATCGAGGGACATTGCCGTTTTCCCTCTCGTCCGTGATTTGCCAGAGGGTTAGGGTTACCCGTTGGCTCGTGCTTCGTACTCACTCAGGGGCCACTATCTAGCCAACGGGTATCGATGGATTTTTATTCCACCTCCCTAAGATACTTGAAAGTCCGTGTGAAATCGAATGTTCAGAGTGTAGTACTGCCGCACGGACCCTCAAGCTGCATGGAGAATGTGAGAAAATGTGAAAAATGTGAAAAAATGTGAAAAATGTGAGATTTTGACAGAGGTGGGATTCGAACCCACGAGGTTTCCCATAACGGATGGTCGAGAATTCCACCTAAACGTTACGCCTTAACCGCTCGGCCACTCTGCCGTGTTTTAAGAAGCTCACGAGGTGGTGGAGGGTGGCATGGGTGACGGGATTTATGTCCCGAGACTCGAAGAGCAAGTTCATGGTTTTGTTAGTATATTAGCGCACAAAATGAAGAGGAAAGGAAGGAAGGAAAGAGCTTATGCAAACAGCAGACAAGAACTCGTTACCTATTCCATTCAAGAACCCAACACATTAGTGAATGAATCATCGAGGTACTTGAAAGGGGCAACATACCAGTCCGTCTCCTCCTCCACCTTGACCTTCCCCACCGCTTTGCATCTCTGTTCTCCTTCAGCGCTTCCTCCTCGGTCCCCTCTGCTTCGACGGCCTTGCTGTCGTCTTCCCCCCCCCGAGCCCCTGAGCCCCTGAGCACTTTAGCCGCCGGCGGCCCGTCGGCCAGTCATTATTTGTTTTAGCGGCGGTGCCGCGCCTTCTCCTTCTGCACATCGATCACGTCAGTGTCTCATTCTCAGAGTGAATAGGGGGGGGCGGGGGACAGAGGGACATTACCAAACCTCTTAGCTGCAGCTGCAGCCAATTCCTCAAATCGGTGTCTCAGATCAGCACGCGATAAATGACATTCCGTGATAACGTCCAACGAACCGTCTACCGTCCTACCCTCCGGTGGCGGCGGCGGCGGTGGCCGGGCCCGGGGCGCCCGACATTGAGTGCCGCAGCGGCCTTCGGGGCAAATATCGACCGGGATCGTGACGTTCACCACCTGGATGTGGCGGGAATGGAAATGTTGCAGAATCCAGTTGGAGGCAGTTCATAACTTCTATTTTCCCCCCTTTTTTCTATTGAAACAAACTTTTGTCGGATTTCTCCTGTTTCAACGTCAGAGACTGATCGAATAGTCAAAAGAAATCAGCAACTAGAGAGCGACGACTTACCTTGGGCAAAAATGGAAACTGTTTTCGATCATTTACTACCGTCGTGTGTCACGAATTCAAGGGGCCTACCCCCTGCCCCTTTCATCTGAAGTGCCTGGGCCGTTCCTTCCTCACCATGCGAACGCGGAAGACAGGTACGAACTCCAGTGTACTCAGGCTGGGGTTAGGTCAAGTGCTTCCCCTCTGTACCTCCCGCCTTGAGCGCCTACTCTTCTCTGTCTCCATGCGAACGCGAAACGAAGGCGTGAACTCCAGAGTCATCGATCAAGGGCCGGAAGAAGTCACTAACGAACGGGTCGACATTTAGCAGTTGGGACATCTCAGGTAGCTCTAAACTCCTCAGGTAGCTCTAAACTCCTCAGGTAGCTCTAAACTCCTCAGTACCTAGTGACTCTTCACAAAACAGATGATCTTCCATTTCATCTCTTATTGCCTTGAGATGCATCAGCAATTCCCCCTGACGGTCAGATCACTATCGGCTTCCATTGCCTGTACCCATCATCACGCTACAGGTCCGTGATCAGTGGGTGCTGGTTCTGCTCGCACCTTCCCTACATCCAGATGTCCCGATCAAAGTCAGAACCACTTTCCCGTAAGTCCCCCAGCAGAACTTCCTTTTCACCCAGTTTCTTACTTTTTCCTTCTCTTCGCTCCAACGCACCGAGCACTGCTGCAGTATGCCTACTTGCCTAGTATGGCCATTCACTCAACGCAAGATGCTACCTAACGAGTGTTATATGTCCGGATCGAAGTCAAAACCACTTTCCCTTAGCTTTAAGTTGCCTGGCAGAACACCCTTTGTACAAATACCAGCTTCTTTTTCCGCCTATCCAAATCCACCGACACTGCAGTATGCCTACCTGGCTAGTATGGTCATCCCGCCACGCAAGATGCTGACGAGTGCCTAGCATAACAATTTTGAGGGGAAAAAAAAAGAACTTCATTCACGTAAGTTCCTTATCAAGATGCGCATAATAGTTGGAGAAAGCTAACGCTGTAAGAAGCAATGTCGGACAATACTATACCACCGTAATCACAATGGAGTGGCGAAGCGGTCATGATTGACACTGTTTTCTCGTTCCTGCAAAGCCAGCTTGAAAGAGGAAGAGCATGGGTCCGATTCGTCACCGGTGCGGAAAGAGGACATAATAGGTGATGATGCCCTCGGGGCCGGCCCGGAGAGGGGGTCTTGGGCGGCAGCAGCAGCAGCAGCAATAGCAGCAGACGGTGCCCTCTGGCCCTCCCCTGCCCGGTACCACTACTAATGTACGTGCCCAATCAACCGGAGCAAGACCTCGTTTGACATTACTGACCATGTACTAGGCCGGGGTGAAGAAGAGCCGCCCGCGGAATCGGAAACCTGTCAGTATTCTGTTCCCTTCCATTGCTTAGCGACAGGTTGAGCTAATCGTGCTTATGCAGGGGCAGGGGAGGTCCCAGGCGGGGCATGCCCACCAGGCAGTCGCCGAGAGCAGCACAATGCGAGGAAGGCGGAGGGTGGTGCCGGTGCCGAGGACATGGTGGTGGAACCGGCCGAGCTGGTGGCGCGGCCGAAGCCACCAGCCGGTCAGGGTGTGGGGGAGGGCACGGGGGCCGGCGGGTTTGGGGGTGCGTTCGGCAACATGAGCATGTAGTTTTCTGGTCTTTATAGATACATGTTCATTTTTGGCGGGTTCAAGACTTCTCCACTCATCCCTCGAATCCCTCCTAAATAATGCACATCTTTCATGGATTTGATGACTATTTGACCAGGAGAGGCCGCCATATATCCCTCCTACGAGCTTAGATCTCGACATGGTTGCAGGGAGCGATTCGAGGAACGAGTAGAGAGGTCTTGAACACGCCGAAAAGGAAAATGTATTATATGAAGGCGAAAACATCTACATGCTCGACGAACCCTCAACCACGCCCAACTACACGGCGACCCTCGTGCCCCGTCCCACACCATTCTTGCCGGTTGGCGGCGCCGGCATTGAGCATATAATTCAAGTTCCCTTTTCTACTTCCAACCCCCTACGGGTAGAAAGTGACAATAGTAGGTAGCACTCTTCCTCTCACCTTACCGGAGGTCGCCTGTTCGATTCACCACAGCGACCCATGATGATGGCTGTCACGACCCTGTATTATATAAAGACCAAAAAACTACATGCTCTTGTATACCCCAAAAGCACCCCCAATCCCGCCGGTCCCCGCGCCCTCCCCAACGGCCTGGCCGGGGCGCAATGGCGAGAAACAGAGGAGTCTAAGGTATCAAATGTCCAGTATACCTGGATGTGAGTTTAAAAACGAATGATGTCGTCGCCGACAAGTCTATTCAAGTTCGTATGGTCGTAAAGATGGAGAACAATGGTGGAATTCTGGCTGAGGACGTGGGCAGACCTGTCTACATATGAGATGGTTTTCCGGCGTACCCCTTTGCTCCTTCCCTTGATCATGGACGCGGTCTACGTTTCTGCTACTTCCCATCATGGTCCTGTCCCATACTGCCTACCCCTCTGCTCTTTCTCGTCATTAGCGTGGTGTACTTCTCTGCCCCTTCCCATCATGGACATGTTTTCAGCTGGTCTACCCTTTCCCTCCTTCTCGTCATGGACATTTCTCCAGCAGATCTACCCCTCCCCCCTTTCCAGCATGGACGTTGCTGCAGGCGGCTCCATTACTCCCTTCACACTTCCCACCATGTATTGGCGCTGGCGCTGCACGCAACCGACACCAAGGTTGAACGGATCGACTACCAAGAATGATACTTTGGCTGCAGCCATTGAATTGAGATAGCCAGTTCGCCCTGCGCCTGAGAAATATCTTACTTTGCTTGGGTGTATGTATGTACATGCACTTACCCATTGTGCCCAGGTGCAAGATGATACCTAGGGACATCCAGGGAAGCTACGACACCGCAATGTTGTTACGTGATGGTTGCCTAAGGTCCAGGCAATGGTAGCTGCCCACTGGCCCTGGATGGCCTGCCCGCACCTTCCCGACACCTAGATCTCGAAAGCAAAGACCGAACTGAAACGCCCTCACTTAAGTCGCGCTGCCCAGAATCTTTCACCATCTCCCACTTTCTCTTCAAGCCATCGACATTTCGGTATGCCCACCTGTCTAAGATTGTCGTTCATGCAACATGGGATTCCTTCTGTAGGCCCTGTGCAAACAGATCTGTGCCCCGGACAACATTTTCTGGGAGCAACCCGAACTCCTTTCCCCCTTTCTCTCCAAGCCATCGACATTTTAGTATGCCTACCTGTCTAACATTGTCGTTTCACGCAACATGAGATGCTGACGAGTGCCTAGGATAGCTACACATAAAATTCTCACACACAATCTAAAGTAAGTTTTCTTCGAGGTGTGTGTGATTGCTGGAGGAGGCTAACCATAGGAAGAATGTCGGACATCATCAGCACCGGCCCCGCCGCCCCCGGCTACACCAATCCGGCCGCCGACACCCCGGCCGCAACTACCCCTGCCGCCCCCACCAAGAAACATGCCCGGGCACGCCGGGCCAACCGCCCCAACCCTCTCCTACCAAGTATGTATAGTACCTTAGCTTGATGTCTCTATTTACTAGATACAACTTGGAAACGACTAACCTGTGATCATAGTCAGAGTTTCGGGGCCAAACGGCTACGAAGTAACCTTTCCTCTAGGGGCTTTCTCTTCCCGGCGGGACCGGGACCATTTATTCCGGCGAAACTTGCCGGCCCTACTTTCTTCTCTAAGTCACTATGTTTCAGTTGTCATCTATCTTTCCCAAGCAATCTCGCTATAGGTGCTAAGTGTTATCAAGTGGGGAGGGGGAGCGGGCGACAGCCGCAGCAGCAGACAGTGCGTTCTGCCCGGCACAAGTACCAACGTGCATGCTGTATGAGTATATTCTTGACTATGTACTAGAGCGGCGTGGAAAAGACGACCCACCGGGGGCAAAGAGAAACAGCGTTGTAGCAGCCATCATCATGGGTTACTATGGCGAATCGAACAGGTGGCCTCTTGATGTGGTTGAGAGGAGGGAGTGCTGCCTACTACTGCCACTTTGCCACTTCTACCCGTGGGGGGTTGAAAGTAGGAAGGAGAATTTGAGTTATATGCTCAATGCCGCCCGCCGCCAGTAGGGGAGGATGGTGTGGGAGTCGGGACAGGGCGCGAGCCTCGAGGGCCGCGGTGGCCGGACGCGGTTGGGGGGTAGTTGAGCGTGTAGATCTTTTTGTCTTCACATGCACATGCAATTCGACCACATCAAGGGGCTCAGTGTAGACAAGAGCGTCAAATGGCTCATCATTTACCGTACACTATTTGTCGGTCCCTATAATAAGGGTTGAATCTCCGTCAGCTGCTTCAGTTGAGCCAGCTATACATTGTACCCAGTTCTCTCCCTACACATAAGTCATAGTACAACGCCTTTTTGACTGTGCTCGACCTCCATCGTCGAAAGCGCCGTGGCCTTCGCTGTCCTAGACGCCGTCGTAACCTCTGTCCCAATCATCATCGCGGCCGTCGCCGTCCAGTCGATGTCCCGGTCGCCGTCCCGGTCGCTGTCCCAGTCGCCGCCGTCGTCCCAGCGGCAGTTGACGTCCTGGTCGCCGTGCCGTCACTGCCGCCGTCCCCGTTCCCGTCCCAGTCGTCGTCTCAATGGCCGTCGCCAGCCCTCTTTCACCTTGCAGGTCTTAAGGCACGACTGCGCTACTTCAGCGACAGTGGCCACTGTTGCTGGCCTCGGGGTCGCTAGCATCGTCACAGTTGTCGTCACAGTTATCCTCACAGTTATCGTCACAGTTGTCGTCCAAGTCGTCGTTGCGTCAACTGGCGCGGGTGGGGGACGCTCCGAGTTCAAGAACAGACGACACCGGAAGGTGAACTACCACAAGGGGGTTGTCGTGGGCAAGGCAATGCGCTGATTTGGCTGTATGGTTGGAACCGTGTTTCCACGCCTTGATCATGGTAATGCTCGGCTCGGCCTGTGACTGACGCTTGCGCCGCCACTTTGTCGGCGAGAAGCGCTCAACTGCGCTGAACCGTTTGTTGATCTTCTTGATCTGCCCGCCTCACCAACCGTGCAGTGTGGGCCGGCTAAGCGCTATTCGATCAACATTTTCTTGACGCCTCCAACCTCGCAGAGTCCAAGGTGCCGGATCGCATCTCGTTCACTAGCCAGGACGATTCTGCGCTCATCGAAGCAAGTAGGATTGTTAGGGTCAACCATCGAGGCGTCCTTTGCTGCTTGTTCGATGGCATCCATCTCCTCCTTACATGCCTGCTGGTCCATCGGGCATACCACAATCGCCTGGCGTAATGTGATGTCGCGAGCGGAGGTCATGTATGCCTAGAATTGGTGAGCATAGCCAACGGATGACTGACGAAGGCAAACCTACCTTGATGCTTAGGAAGAACTCAATCTTGTACAGCGTCGACGATGTGGTAAAACTGGTCACCTCATACATCGGGAACGCTGGCTTGCCCCTTTTTATGATGCCATCCGGATCTCTGAGATCGCGGGCTGGGAGTACCAGACCCAGATTCGTCATATACCCATTCTCTGGCAACTTTGTGCCTACCTGCTGTGTATGTTTCGCAATTTTATTGACCTTCCTGGTCGGCTCGTCTCCTTCAGGGTTGAATGTGATTTCCTCCTCAATGGTCAGTGTGATCTTCTGTATCGTCACCCTTTTCGCCTTGTTCATGTAGTCCGGGTTTGGCGACAACTTGACGTATACCGTAATGGGATCCAACGGCCCATAGCTCCATTTCGGGAGCGACATGCCCAAGGTCACGATATGATCCGCCGTCGCTGCCTTGGTCTCTGGTCGGTTGTACATTCCAAACGTCGACAGGGTGTCGTAACGTTGTAATGGGATGGGAAAGGTGTAGCGGTTCTGCATGCTAGATCCCTGCTGTACAGTGACGACAAGTTCGTAATAGGTCTCGGCGATTCGGCTGGGGAGTTGTAAGCTGGCTGGCGGAATGCGCCGGTTCGTCTCTTCTCCCCCGCGCCCGAAAGGGATGAAAATCTGGAATGGTAGATCCATGGCGATAACGCTCTCCGACTCCTTCCCTGATGTACAACGATAGAGCAGAACCTCCTTGCCCACCAAATCGGAGGTCTCCCGTCGCGGCGTCCCAAGATGTCGCTTCGCAACATTCTCCGCCGCCGGATGGATGGTTTCCCGTCGCTGAAGGCAGATGCGCACCATGGAAATGTTCACCGGAGCCGAAAAGCCTGCGCCCGGCCGGATCTCGACTTTGCCAACAATCCTAGGCTGCATCGTCGACGGTTAGCATTGCACAGCACAACGCACTGTGACGGCGACACAGCCACAGGAAGGATGCGACCAGACCGCTCTGTCGCATACCGTTACGCGACGCACGGGAGGAACAGAAAGAGGCGAAACTCACCAATGTCGCAGAGATCCCCGGGTAGCCCACCAAGAAGCTGCTGTTTGGTGGCCCCGATATCCTCACGGCCGCAGGAGCATTCGGCGCATTCATTCTGGAGTCGTCGTCCAGACAGCTTTCGCCCAAACAGTCAAGCAGCGCTGAGCGATTCGTTGTCGTCGTTGTTGGCAGGGCTCGACGCAGGCGCGACGGCCTTGGCCGGTCATGAAGGAGAGCCGGCGGAGCTGAGGCTGGATCGCCGCGTTAGGGCTGAGGCGAGGGCGGGACAGCCGATCTGGGGTGAGGGGTCCCTGAGATATTGCCCGCGCTGTATCGATAAGATGGCTGAAGCTGAGAGGGGGTGGGCATCACATTGCCATCCATCAAGTGGGATGCAGAGCATTCGCGGCCGGTTGGAGAGCCGGGTTTGGGGTGGTTCTGCGCAATATCGTCGTTGGGAGTTTGATTGTTGTGGGATTTGGTAACCCCGGAGCCCGTATTACGACAGCACGGATCGCAGAAGTGATGGGTGCGTCAGACTCGATGCTCCAGTCTGTAGTTCTGCAGGTCCGGGGAGAAGAGCCTTCTTTCCTCCGACGGAGCTCTTGGTCTCCTCTAATTCACGTCGACGGGAACGCTTGTCTTCGCCGGGATTGGAACCTCCAGTCTAGTCACGCTATGGATCCTCAGCGCACCACTTGTCGTGCATTAGCCGTGGCTGGCCAGAATGGTACCTTAGACAATCCCGTCCCGGGAGTGTGGTCCTATTAGCAGCGACTCGTCAGCTTGACCGAAATGAGTCGGTTCACCCGAACACTATCGAGAGACATCGACTAAGGGCTACTGTGGGTTGGCGGCGTAAATTTCAAGCCTGGGGAAAGGACATAAGACATGAATGTTACGGACGGAGGTGTCGAATTATAAAGTCCTCCGGTGAGGGCGCGGATGCTCATGTCACGCAGAAGCTCTGCCTAGATGGGACAGACGAAAGCTGAAAGTTCCAGGACCAACGAAAGCATCAACGAAGCGGAATGCATAAGTGGCAGCCTTACACTGATGAGTGGTGGGACCTACAGGTACGACACCACTGCAGGTGAAGGTGTGTGCAGTTGTGCAAGGAATGTTACGTGGCGTACCGGTAACGTACGGGTGTGAAGGCATGGGCGGTACGGGGTACCTAGGTAGGTATCCTTGCCGAGAACTACCATTAATCAGGTGTAACCCAGACTAGAAACTCCTTGGAGAATAATTGTACGCATTTTACACATGTACATAGTGTTTGATGAAAATAATCTCCAAGTACGGAGTATGAGATACTTGCAATATTGGGTTAGGTAACTCGAGGATGGCCGGGGTAAAGGGTGGTGATAATGTAAACTTGTTAGTACGACTGTCCGACTGTCGTCACCGCTGTGCCGTCGGACGTGAAGGTCTTGAGGACCTCGGGAGCTGAGAGCAGAACGGTTGTTTAACGGTGCAGTGATACGCAGCTCATGCAGGTGCTGGAAGTTGTTTATCTTCGAGATATTGTCTGAGGTGAAACCTTTTGCAAGATTGCCGCGGGATAGAAAAACGAGTGAAAGTTGATCTCATCATTCATGATCATTGTCCTTAAGAATCAAGATAGGGCGATCATTAACGTTATCGGTAGAAATTACGAAATTTACGATACATGTGTTGTGTAACACTTTCCCCTGTGTAACTTACACCTTTATGTTACGTCCTTCAACTCAGGGTACTCCATACTACATTCAACCCAAACAATGAACCTACCAAGAACAAAACCATCTTGATACTAACCTCTGCCCACCATGTCTGTCACACTACACACAAACTTCGGAGACCTCAAGGTCGAAGTCTTTTGTGAGAGCGTTCCTAAAACCGCAGAGGTATGAGCCTCACCGAACCCTTGTCACTGTAGCCAAGTCCACAACTAAAACATCACCCCCAACCCTCCAGAACTTCCTCGCGCTTTGCGCATCCTCCTACTACGACGGCTCACCCTTCCACCGCCTAATCCCCTCCTTCATGGTCCAAACCGGTGCGCCCGCCCACCCGAATCCGCCCGACAACCCCAAGGGCGGGCGGTCCATCTACGGGCCGACGTTCGAAGACGAGATCCGCCCGGGCTTGCGCCATCACGAGCGGGGGATCGTCAGCATGGCCAACAAGGGCCCCAACACCAACGGCAGCCAGTTCTTCATCACATTCGCGGCTGCCCCGCACCTGGACGGCCTCAACACGGTGTTTGGCAAGCTGCTGGGCGACGAGTCGCTCGCGACGCTGGCCAAGATCGAGGCGGTCGAGGTGGACAAGAAGAACAGGCCCACCGAGGAGATACGGATAGAGAGGGTCACCATTCATGCGAATCCGCTGGCTAAGTGAAGGTGAGGGGCCACCAAGAAGCAGAAGGACATTATTACGTCAGGAAACCTCTCCTGCGAGTGGTGCGACCGGGACGGGCACGCGTACGGTGGATTGCCGGCACGCGGCCTCTTCCGACTAGGTATGCGAGAGATGTAGCACCGGCGCATGGCAGCCCTGCACCCCGGGCTGGGCCAGGCTCCCACAAGGCAAGGTAATATAGATCGCCCTAACGCGCATCAATATCGCTGAGAACAGGGCTCAACGGGACCGGCCAGCCGATACCTACCCAGCAAGTATCTGGTTAGTCCAGCTGGCGATACCAGGCTGACAGAAGAAGGGATATGGGATTAAGGGCGACAGTTGCATGAGACACCGCCGAGGACAGTTTACAGACCCTCCCCGTGAGGCCTTACGTACCCCCAGTCTAGCAAATACAAGACTATCTCGCTTTCGTACCACTGGCCTCTCTCACATCCGCTATCGATTAGTATAAGTCATTATTCGTCATGCTATGTCTTCCTATCGTGTTTCTTAGGGACATGTTACGGGTTTCAAAATGCAAATCTCTCCTCTAGGCGTCGCCAAAGGCATACCACCCTAAGATAGCACCTACGAAGCAGCACTCCCTCCGATCTGTTATTATTTGACATCCGAGAGGGACAGGAACCCACCGACTTCCACACGCCACAGGCTTATGTTCTGTTATGTAGGGAAAGAAAGGAAACTGGCAGCAACGCACCTCTCGACCTCCAAGACAAAGGAAACGGAAAGGATATCTAGACGTGTATCTTGTAAACCGCCCACCACGCCGGAACCCCATCCAGCCATTCATCCATCGTCTGTCCGTCGTCGGCGATAATATTTGAAACGAACGCCGTATGACCACGAAGATAGCTACCCAACAAGTCTCGCACCATTCACGCGGGAAGCCATATGGCATGCATGACCAGAGACGTTAGCCCTTTCTCCGGCGCTTGGTGCCCCGTTGTTCCGGGCTGTTGAAGAGGTCGCTGCTGCTAGAAATCTCCGTCCCCGCCGGGCTCGGACTGCCGGGCTGAGAGGCAGTCTCAAACACCTTCCCAGGCTCATACGACGGCGCGTTGGCATTGCCGGCGTTGCTGTTCTGGCCGGCTCCAATGCCGGAGCCAGCGCCAGCGCCAGCTCCGGGGACAAGCTCAGCCGCTGTATTGCCGTCCAGGCTAAAATTGAAGTCGTTGTTGCCGTCCCCAGCGTTGTTCACTCCGACGCTGTCAAAGCCGGCAGCGTCGTAATTTGGTTCAGAAAAAGCGTTGGTATCGATGAATTGATCATAGTCGACATTGTCGAAATAGCTAGTATTGGGGTTGCCGTGCTCATCGAGACCCGGGATGCGACCTGACGGGCTAAGGGGCCCGAGCAGGTTGGTGAGGTTGTCGATTTGGGCGGCCTGTTCGTTTTGGAGCCGTTGCAGCGCCTCGAGCTCGGCTTGTGTGGCTTGCAGTTCGTGGAGCGGTGGCACCCCTGGAATCGAAGACAAGACCGGGGACAGCGATGGGGCCGAGGTTGGGACGGTCGGGGCAATTGGCGCAGGCACCGAGGCGGCTGGACTGATGACAGAGATGCCGTTGGAATTGGGAGGGGCTGTGGAATTGTTGCCGGCCATTATGCTAAGCATCTTCGAGCGCTGATCGTCATTCATACTGGCAGACGTCTTGGCAGCAACGTCTGTCAGGTTGAGTCCCGAAGAATTGACTGCGTTTGTGTCGTTGATAATCTTCATCATGCCTTCTTGGGGATTGCTCTGAAGCTCGTTCTTGATGTAGGAAGGCGATGTAGTATCGGCGGGGGACGTGTCGAAGAGCTCGGTGATCGTCCCAACCTGCGGCATTTGGTGAGCCGCTTGCGGGGCAGTCGGCAGCGCTGCTGATGAAGACAAGGGGTTCGCCTTGTTTGCTTGGTGATGCGGTATTGGGGGCAGGAGGCGCTGCTGACGCTTTGGGGTAGCCACTGCTGTCACGTTTTGTGGCCGCTGCTTGACGAAGCCGCCGAGGTCAACAACTCCTCCAGCAGGAGACATTTGCGACTGGCCATGCCCCTGAGCGTTGGGTATGATACTCGCCAAGAGGTCCTGCACGCTTTGGACGCCACCCTGCTCTTCCAATGATTTCCGGAAAACGTTGGCTAGGAAGTTGAGGATGGCATTGATCGAGTTCTCATGGCGCTCATGCATGCTTTGGAACATGACGGCCTGTTGGTAGAGCTGGTTCTGGTCTTGCCGCATCTTGGTGAGCATGTTTGAAATGGCAATTTGCTGCTGCTGGAGCCTCTCGATCTGAGTCTTGACCTGTATCAGATCCTTTTTCGGGAGCGGTCCAAGTTCGTTAGAAAGACCCCCTCTGCCAACCTGAGCCGTTGGCAGATTCTGCCCGTTGTACGCTTCTTCGGTGGCACCGTCTTCGTCGCTTTCGACGTCGCCCTCGTCCTTCTTCCCCTTTTTTTTGCTATTTCCGCTCTTGGGCTTGTTGATTAGCCACAAAAGATTCGGATGGCCGCGGCGGAAATAGGGGTTGTAGTATTCGCTCGGGCTTTTGTTCTTCCTCTCGCTGGCCTTCATCGAGTTGTCGGAGAGACCCACACGTTTGTGGAAGCCATACATGTTTAGCTGGCGAACGAACGAGGCGTAGTTATTGTGTTTGAATAGCTCGGGAATCAGCGTTTTGGCAAACTCATCCTCATCAAGCACGATAAAGGAATCCCCTTTGTCGGACCAGCGGATCAGATCGGTGTTTCTGGACTCATCCAGAAAACTGCAGATTCGTCAGCGCGCTGCAATGACTAAGGGACAAGAGGGACGGATTGATCATGTACCTGCTGAGCTTCTGGACGAAGGGGGGTATCTGCTTCCTCTTGGCCTGGGCCTCTCTTTTTGCCCGCTGAGCCAGCTCCTCAAGCCGCTCGATGTTGTCGTGCTCGTCTAAGGGTGTGCTTGCGTGCAAATAGACGGGATCTTCGCTGTATCCATTCCAGCTGTCCGGGCCGTGATCGAACGCGGGCCTAGCGCCGGTAGGAATGAGAGCGCGGCTGTTCTGTCGCCGCGCCAGAGCTGTTGACGGGGCCGCTAGCGGCTGCCCGTACGGACTTGATGGAGTCATCATTCCGAACGAGCTGACGGAGGGCGACGTGGTTTCCACAAAGCCGTTTCCATCCACGCCACCGTTCCACCTGAACATCTGGTCGGCTTGCACCGGCGAAAATGGCTGCGGCATCTGAGTTAGGGGGACCATCGGAGGAGCGCCTGAAGCAGGTCGTTTCCTCGGGTTGGGCGAAGACATAACACAAGCTGGCGGTGCTTGGCCAGCGCCGACTGGTTCAATGAGGCCCAGTCGTCAGCAACGCCTGCGAAATATGGAATTGGCTTTCCAGGAGAGGAGCCAATTAGGCAGCTCTGTGATGTTTGCCTATCTTCTGTCTCGCCTGGTCTAGCGTTGACGGAACTCGTGCTCTCCGCTCCTTGGCGGTATCCGGGAAGGTAGTTGAGATGAACGATGCGATGCTAGTCTCGCGGTTTGTGGCAGCCGGAGCAAATGGAAGCCGTGTGGTGCACCGAGGAGGTGGTCCTGTCTTCGATTCGGCCGACGTCGCTCAAAGGCAAGGCTCGACGTGTCCCAAAAGTCTCCAACGGAGGGGTCCTCTAGAGTCCGGCGGCGCGGCGGAGCGATGCGCTCTATTGTTCGTTTTTGGCGGAAGGCAGAGGTATCTTGTGTGGCAGATGGGTATTCGCTTTGATCAGCGCAAATTGTTCAATGCCGCGAATGGATTGTCTCGCCGATGCGATCCTCAATCGCGCTTATTGTGTTATGATCTCCTGACGCTAACAATGCCCGTTGGAGTCTGAGCATCTCAGCAGGCGCTGTGTTTCGGCGGGGACTTGCCTAGCGGATTGCGAACGATGCGCCGCGCCAAGTGCGGCGTTCCTGTTAGCAACCTATGCCTGTTAGACAAATGGACAAAAGGTTGAATGGCCTAGCCTTGCCACGCTATGAAAGTGGCGAGCGAGCGACCGGACAAGGTTTGAAGAAGAGATGAAAACTGTCGAGGCTAGCGCCAGACTTTTGGTTGGCGGTTGAGGATTCCGAGTCTTTCTACAGTAGCATGCGTGCATGCGTTTGAAGGGCGGGCAGCGATGAAAACAAAATCGGTCTAGCGAGGTTTTCGTCCGTCGAGCCAATCATCTACCAAAGTGACAGTGACCCACAAGCGGGGTAATCACGTTGATATCGTAAATACAGTAACAGTACACACTGAGTTGCGTAATTACCGCTGTGACGCCAGTGGCTGCCTGCAGTAATTCTTGTCTTACTGTGTATGTACACCTAGAAAGGATTGGCAACAGCTGCTGTGTACACATCTATCTTCAAGGAGTCCAAATCAACATTGTTTGCAATAAAGGACCTATGGAAAGGTGTGCGGCCGAGGCAGAAGATTACATAGCATGTTCGATTTCTTATCTACATGACAAGTGACAGCCGCCCTATGACATCAGCGATGCATTCGCCCACATCGGCCATGAACATTTCGATCTCAGAACCGCACTGGTGGAGTAGTATACACGTGTAGATGTTCTCAAGCAATCCTTATCAATAGTAGCAGGGTATCTAGTAGTGTGTTAATGATTGTGACAAGCACATGTAAAGTTACATACCATCATGGCTTCGGCGGGCCCGTAATGAATCGCTGGCGGTCACCTGGATCTTCTGTCTCTGTCGCGGCCCCTATCGCGGTCCCGGTCCCGGTCCCGGTCCCGATCCCAAGCTCTGGAAGAACCACCGGGGCGCGCTTCTCTAGACGCCCTCTTCTCTTCCTTGAGGTTCCTAGCTTTCTCCAGGGGATCAATGACAACCAACTCCTCCTCAGCTTTCTTCCGGAAATTGAAATCCTTGCCAAGTTTGTCGGCAGCGAAGCTCAGCGTGTGATACATCCAACCTTCATCGTCGCTCTCATCCTTGACCTCTTTATCCCAGGCCCGGCAGCTCTGGCAGTTTGCGATGAAATGCAGGTCACATACCTCGCCGTCCTCACCTTGCTCGCCCCCTTTCTCCTTTTCATTGGCAGAGGGCCGAGACTCTTTCTTTTCAGCCGGCGCCTGCTCCAATTTTGACTTGAAGGACTTCAAGAGGTCCAAGGCTTCTTGTTCCTCTCTTGTGCTAATGCCATTGCCACCCGGGCGCCGCTTCCTCCCCCTTATCGCTGTTTCTGGGACGAGTAATTCCAGTGTGGACTTCTTCTTCTCCTCCTTGACCGGCTCGGCATGGATCGTCCGCTTCATGGATGCTTTGACCGCGGCGATCTCCTCGTTCGTTTTCTCCAGGAGCGACTTCTTCTGGGATTGCTCCAACTCCGGGCTAGACCTATCGCTGCTATGAGTTCTGGGCACTGGTGCCTTTTTCTCCAATACGGGTTCCGGGGAAGGCGGGCGCTTTCGGGTCTCTGATGCCTCGATCGTCTGCACCTCCTTGGCCTCCCTGTTGTGTGGTTTAACTTCTTTCTTGACAGACGCCCGAACCGGCATTGTCTTCTGCGCCGGTTCTTCATCCACGTCCATCACGATCCTTGTATCAAATTTGGCCTTTTTGATCGTTGGAACATCTTCACCATCGCCTTCCTCGTCTCCGAAGCTGAGTAACTGCTTGCCGGCTTTTCTCTTCTTCGGCTTCTTCTCTGCCGGGGAAGGTCCAGGCACCCCCTGCCGAACCTTTGTCTCCCTCTTCTTCATGTCATGAAATGGGTTGATGAGAATTTCGATGCGTATGATTTTGACTGGGTAAAGCGGCCGCTCGCTGCCTTCTGCCACCTCGGCCTCTCCCATTTTGGCCAGATTGTAGATTGTGTCACCAGCCACTCGGCCAAAGAGAGTGTTCTTCCCTGTGAGTTCCTCCGTCTTTCCCAAGGTAAAGAAAAACTGGCTACCGTTACTGTCGGGTGTTCCCTCGTTTGCCATGCCTAGGAGACCACGCCGATTGAACTTCAATCGCGAATGGAATTCATCCTTGAAGTTCACCCCCATAGGGCCAGCGTTCTGTCCTTTGCGCTGGTCCATCGGCCAAGGGTCTAAATCACCGCCGAATGCGCCGCCATCGTAAATCGATTCGCCTCCATGCCCTGTACCGGTCGGGTCGCCGCCTTGCAGGATGAAGCCCGGTACAAGGCGATGGAAGATGGTGTTGTCATAATATCCATCTAGGCTGAGCTGCAAGAAATTGCGACAGGTCAGGGGCGTTTGCTTCGCGAATAGTTCGACCGCGATTTCACCCTGGGTCGTGTGAATTATTGCTGACGCAGTCGGTTGCGGCTCGAGATTATAGATGGCCGACATGGTCAAATCCGCAAATTCGAAACGCCACTGCCTCACGACAATGCTTAGGCGCCGGTGGTGGTGGGGGACACCAGCGGTTTCTGTTGTTCTCTACTCCGTATACTTCGTAGTGCTCACCAGGTCAATCGAAAGGGCGGATGGATTGGACTTGACGGTTGCCAAGCCTGTTCAGTTGCTTCAGTTGCCTGCCGTAGGCCCGTAAACTTTAGCGTCAACGCCACAACGGTGACGGAAGTCTTGAATGCACCGTGCGCCCGGGCGGTGCAGTTCCGCCCACGCAATGCCTTGAGCTTGAGCTCAAGACTTCCGAGTTTTGAGAGACTTCCAGACTATGTGTATGTTCAGCCAAAGATCCTCTTTCTGTTGCTGTTACGTGACGAGCATACATAAACTTAATTTATTCGGCCGTCGCAATACTTTTCAGTTTCAGGAAATGAATAAGCAGCTATCCGTGCCTTCAGTTGGGTCTGGAAAGTGTGGCTGTGCCACATGCAGACCACTGCGGGGCTCGGCAGGGGATATGGGACTCGTCCTTGCTCCAGCTCGGAGCTTGCGACTTCAACACCTGGGAGGAGATCTGTTGAAATTTGAGACCGACAACACCTTTCGTCATCTACTTAGCAACTTTGAGCCCCTTCCAGTCTTCTTGCCGACCCGGCTTCAAGTTCTGCATTCGTGACTGTGCCAAGCCGGGCAGAGAGTTCCGCATCCATCATGAGCGACCCACGGGAATCGTCCTCTTACCGAGTGACGCCTAGGATCCGCTACAACACCGTCGGCGGTGTCAACGGACCTCTGGTCATCCTCGACAATGTCGGCCTCACATACCCAACTCCCAGCTAATACGCGGCTGCTAACCGTATCCCTAGGTCAAATACCCGAGATACAATGAGATTGTTACCCTCACTCTCCCCGACGGCACACAGCGCTCCGGCCAGGTCTTGGAGGCTCGAGGTGGGCGCTCCGGCATCCCGCATTGTTGCGATAACCAATACTGACATGCGCGAACAAGGAAACCGAGCGATCGTTCAGGTACGGCACCTGACATGATTCGTCCCGACAGAGACATCGTCGCTGATCGCATCCGCAGGTTTTCGAGGGCACTACGGGTATCGATGTGAAGAAGGTGAGACACGACCAGTGGTGAGCAGGAGTTCGGCTCAGTCGGCTGATTAGCGACAAGACACGGGTAGAGTTCACAGGGGAGAGCTTGAAGCTCGGTGTCTCAGAAGACATGCTGGGGCGAATCTTCGATGGTTCAGGACGTGCAATCGACAAGGGCCCTAAGGTATTGGCCGAGGAGTTTCTGGATATCAACGGCAGCGCAATCAATCCCTACTCGAGAGTAAGACCCCCCAACGCTGCTCACCAGGACACCGATGTTAAAGGCGGCATAGGTCTATCCCGAGGAGATGATATCTACTGGTATCTCGGCCATCGATACCATGAACTCGATTGCGCGTGGGCAAAAGATTCCTATTTTCTCGGCTGCCGGTCTGCCGCACAATGAAATCGCTGCTCAGATTTGCCGGCAGGCCGGCCTGGTCCAGCGCGAAGGCGTGACGAACAAGGGTGTCCATGACGGCCACGAGGAGAACTTCTCGATCGTGTTCGCGGCCATGGGTGTCAACCTGGAAACAGCCCGATTCTTCACTCGTGACTTTGAGGAGAACGGGAGCTTGGAGCGTACCACGCTGTTCCTCAACCTAGCCAACGACCCTACGTAGGTGCTAGTGCTCATGGCGTGCCAGCCTCTTACTAACTGGTTGGCAGCATCGAGCGCATCATCACTCCCCGCCTCGCCCTTACAACCGCCGAGTATTATGCCTACCAGCTTGAGAAGCACGTCTTGGTCATTCTCACCGATCTTTCAGCTTACTGTGATGCCCTCCGTGAGGTGTCAGCCGCCCGCGAAGAAGTTCCCGGTCGCCGCGGTTTCCCCGGCTACATGTACACGGATCTGTCCACTATCTACGAGCGGGCCGGCCGTGTAGAAGGCCGGAACGGCTCAATCACGCAAATCCCCATTCTTACTATGCCGAATGACGACATTACGCACCCAATCCCCGACCTGACAGGATACATCACAGAAGGCCAGATCTTCGTCGACCGTGGCTTGCACAACCGCGGTATCTACCCTCCAATCAACGTGCTGCCGTCTTTGTCACGTCTCATGAAGTCTGCCATCGGCGAGGGCATGACGCGAAAGGACCACGGCGACGTATCAAACCAGCTGTACGCAAAGTACGCCATTGGCCGTGATGCGGCGGCTATGAAGGCCGTCGTCGGCGAGGAGGCGCTGTCTGCCGAAGACAAACTGTCGCTGGAGTTCCTCGAGAAGTTCGAGCGCAACTTTATTAGCCAAGGGCCGTACGAGTCTAGGACCATCTTCGAGTCTCTGGACCTCGCGTGGAGTCTGCTGCGCATCTACCGCAAGGATATGCTGAACCGAATCCCTGCCAAGATAATCAACGAGTTCTACCAGAGAACACCGGCTGATCGTAAGGGCAAGGGGAAGGCGCCGACCAAGGACACCAGGGACACGGCAGGGCCTGAGGAGGATAATCTAATCGACGCATGATTACGACGGCCCGGTGAAGCGGCCTTGGCCCCTTGACAGGGTCCATCTGTGTAGGCGGAAGTACCTGCCAAGGATTAACGTAAGACCTGCTGTATATGTTCGGTTCAGGGACCGTGGTTGGTGGGATTGCAGATTGGAATTGCTTTATAGACCTCCTTGTCTGTCAATTGTCCGACTTGTGGTACGGCTGTGTCCCACTGGTGATACATAGGCTGTCATTGGAGCGCGTGTAAGCGTACACCAATACACCTTGTCTGCCGCGTCCTAAGCTAAGTTACGGTACCGTAGGCACCCCGGACATGGCCCTGTTACTGTATTCTCGCAGTTTAAGGGCCCAATATCTTGAAGTCTGCTGCAAACTGTCATGAGTTGCACGGCGGTGCAAAAGCTGGTGGCTAACGTCAAACTTCCTATCTCCGAGAGCAGAACACCAGTGAGACTCATACTGTAAGTCGAGCCCGTGTTGAGCAAAGTGAATACCGGAGGCTTGGCAACAATAAGCTTTACTGGGAGCTGCGAGCTCGATCTGTAGGCGAGAACTGGGGTTGCAAGATGACCCACATTGACAAACAACTTCAACTTCTCCGCACTTTTCTCCCGCACCCACTGAGCAAACCCCAACCACCCCTATTCGTGGTACCTATCAAGTCAGATGCAGGGAAACGAACGGCTATGGTGACGGTGAGTGAGCCCACTGCCAACATGACGGGAATTGGGTCCCAAAACGGCCGGTCCCAGACAATGGATGGAACCTAGGCGAGGTGGTTCTGAATCTTGATTGAACCTGGAGGAATCCCAGTCAGGTGGGATTGAGCCTGGGGGCAGAGAGGCTACACTACTGCACCCCGCAACGTCGTGAGCTTCCCAACTTCCTCTTTGGGGTTTTGGAGGAGCCGTGATCTGCGATGGGACTCAAGATCTTCACTCCACTGTCATCATCACAGGCAGGCTCGGCAGGCCGCGCTCGTGTTAGTGTTCATGTTTCCTGGAACCTGGGTTTTATTAATTATTTCTTAGGCTAATCGAGACGCTGCCGTTTCACTGCATACAGTAGCACCGTGCTACTATTTGGCCCGTCTACCGGGTCTTGGCGCAGAAGTTGCTGAACCGTCCTCGCTGGCGCAAGATCCCGCAGCATATATAGGGATCCTGCGTTCATCGAGTCACTTGCAGATACACGACCACATGCAAGCAGGGCGCAATTCGCCTTCATCTCAACTCTAAGGTCGCATTAACCACGCCCACCCCGCCTGACTGTAGCTCGCAGTATTTACAGTACCTTCACCAACTTCCCTGTCAATGTAAACTTATATAGCTGACCTTGGTCGGGTATTCATTCTCCGCCTACTTCGTCTCTTCTTTCCCTCCCTTCTTTCCCTCCCTCTGACAGTTGGACCCGTCACCCGTCCCATCGCTTGTATTTCATTTGTATGGTCCGGAATCACCTCTGATAGTCCTCCAGTTGACGGCTGCCATAATGCATATACATACTCTCTTAGGCGCAACTCTGCTGCTGGGGTTGGGTAACGCCGTGGCCGACTCTTCATCTAATTATGAACCGGATGAGAATGGAAAATATTGGATTCATGGAGAGGGCATCTCGGCTGCCTTTATTCCCTACGGGGCGTCTATTTCCAACCTCATGATCAATGATCGGTATGGGATCCCGCGAGACATTGTCATGGGCTTCGACAACGCCAGCTATTACAGCATTGATGAAAAGCATCCCCACCTCGGCGGTGTGCCTGGCCGCTACGCGAATCGCATTAAGAACAGCACCTTCGAACTGGACGGAGTGGCATACCATGTGGCAGCCAACGAGAATCCCACCTCTGAGAACCCTGAAGGCCTGAATACCCTCCACGGCGGCCCGGACGGCTGGGACTGGCGCAACTTCAGCGTCGTTGCCCACACGGAAAATAGCATCACCTTCTCCATTGTCGACCCGGATGGCAAGGAAGGCTTCCCGGGCGAGGTCATCTCGTATATCACTTACACGGTTGGCAACATGACGTGGGACGCCAAGATGGTCGCCATCGCCACGACCAAGAAGACGCCCATTATGCTGAGCAGTCACACGTACTGGAACCTGGACGGCTTCGCCAACAACGAGACCAATACGGTGCTAAACCACACGTTTCACCTACCTTACAGTGGCCAGCGCGTTGCCGTAGACAACATTCTTATCCCTACCGGCGACATTCTGCCAAATGTCCGGGGCTCAGTCAACGACTTCTGGAGCGAGCCAAAGCAAATTGGCAAGAGCTTTTCAGACCCAGAGATTCACGGAAACTGCGGTTTCAACTGCACGGGTTATGGTGCGTTCCCTCTTTTTCTCATGCAGGCATTTCTGACAAGTTCGCTCTAACTCAACGTACACAGACAACTGCTGGCTCGTTAACCGCCCTGGGCCTCACGACTGGCGCGCCCCTGGCGCCGCCGTTGCCAGCCTGTCATCAGCATGGTCCGGCATCAAGCTTGACATCTACACAGACCAGGAGGCCTTCCAAATGTATTCCTGCGGCGGCCAGGACGGGACTTTTGCCCTCAAAACCACCCAGGGACTGCACGGCAGCGGGGATGGCGCTGCCCCCTTGTTTCCCCGGACGGTCCCAAAGTACGGCTGCGTCGTGCTCGAGGTGCAAGACTGGATTGATGGCATCAATCATCCGGAGTGGGGCCGCTTGGGCAAGCAGGTGTTTGAGCCGGGCGGTGATCCATATGTTCTACAGGTTAGCCACCGATTTAGTGTCGACCACGAGTAGCGGAAATGCGGGAATGCACGGTAGCGAAACTGTCCAGTGACGGATGCTCCGGTGGAGGTTCCAGGATCCAGCGGCTTGGGGATTTGGGTACCGGTAGTTTAGGCGTTTAGCGTGAGGAATGAACTGCTTTATGATACCCGCTGTGGTACCGTTGTTTCACCAGGAAACTATGGTAATCCGTTATGTAGCTAATGTAGTGCCTGCGTTGGACTCATCGTCCTTGGACTGTGTGTATGGTTTCGGCTAAACGTAAAGGTGACGGCGTCAGCAGCCGTGACGAGACCTAATTCAAGACGACAGCTAGACATTCCGCAGAAATACTGTACTGAATTTTGGCGTTGCTGACGCCCTGGTTCAGTGTCATCTGGTGTAGAGGGTCTAGGGATAGGGGCCAACTAAACTCAAGGTGAGAGTCGGGTGTGACACGGTATGCAGAAAACGGGGTAGTGGGTTAAGGTAGAGTCCTCACCTTCAACCTCAACATCAACGGACAAACCTACCACTTATGGAGTGCACACCTACAGTCTACCGGTATCTAAGCACTCGAATACAAGCCGACCAGATTTCTATTTTTGACTCTTGCCTGGGTATCATCCTCCAACTTAGGCAGCTCATATCACCAACCCAGTCAAAACTACCGACTACAGCGAACAACCGAACAAGTGCCACATCAAGGTACCCCTAAACAATAATTCAAAAGACCACCTCGACAGACAATGTCACTCTCATCCTCACACCCAAACCCAAACCCAACAACAACACAGCCCGTCCCTCTCCACCCCCGCCCCCAAAACTCACCTCTCAGGACCAGCCCAAAGGCCCCAAACCCCCTCCCAACCCTGCTCCAAACCCCGTCCGGCCTAGCCCTGCTGGAGTTACAAGGGACAATCAACCTGCCCTCAACCGCTTCACCCCTTTCTTCCTCTTCCATTCCCCAAGGAACAGCAACAACAGCCACAACAACAGCACAAACCCGGATCCCAATCGGCCGCCTGCACTTCCCGGACTACCACCCCGACGATCAACCCGACAACAACGCCTGGATGAAAAGGGTCTATCTGTACGTGGGCGAGCACCAGCGCCTGCAGGGGACGGTGCAGAAGCTGCCGCGGGCGCTGGCCGTCGTGCGGAAGCGGGCCCGGGTTGCGGAAGGGGCTGGGGAAAGGGAGGGGACGGGGGGGGAGGCCGGGGAGTTGGAGGTTGTGGAGGTTGTCAAGTGGAAGGCGGTGTTTTCGCAGCGTCCTGAGCCGGTGGGGAGTTGATACCTTAGGGCATTTTCATGTGTTTTGTTGGGGTTGGTGGCTTGGGGACTTGATGGGTTGACTGGGCGGAGCATGAGAGGGGAGGGGAATGGCAAGGAAGGGGAGGATTGGGGGTTGGGGGCTGGCATGCGGGTTCCTAGAGGAGCGAGTCACGACAGGTTAGGATCAACGGGGTGCTCTGTGACCGGTGAAGTTGGGGTGGGTTGTAACGGGGATGTGGATGATGTGATGGAGCATTCAAGGCTTGCTGGCTTTGTGTATCCGGATACGTCGAGATACGGTTTCAGGCACGCATCTGATAAATTGCTGCTATTCACGCTAGCTGACTCCTACTGGAGCGGCAGGCTTGACTCTGCCAAGCCCCTCCTTGCCATAGTAATCCATGGGATACGCGCCCTTGCCCCAGTCCTCCTTCTCCTCCAGTGCAACTAGCGCTTCGTACGGAGTGAGCAGCGGCCGCGGGAAGGCATATCCCCAGTCGATGCTCAGCCTCGGACACGCCACCTGCACCCAGCACTCGACGTCGCTCATCAACGCCAACTTGCCTGGGAAAATCTCGCTCAGCAGCAGGTTAACGAATGGGATCCCCATCTGCTTCAGCTTGTTCTCTATCAGAGCCATGGTATGCGGGTTCCCCTGCCGTCCCAGCGACCCGAGAATGAGTCCCCATTTCTTGGCCCCCTTCGCCGTCCGGATTGCGTCCCGACGGAGATCCTGCATCTCGTCGTGACCGTACGTCTCGTGCGTCAGCTTCCGTGAGTACGGGTCGTACCGGTACGCTGGGATACCCGGGTTGTGGATCATGATGCTCTCGAGATGGAAGCGGCCGTCTCCCAGGTAGAGGATCAAGTCCACGGGGCTATCAGTGTATGTGGAGAGATTCGGCGACGTGCACCCGAGAATCTCGCCTTTTGAGAGCGGTGCAATCTGCGGCACAATTACCTTGAAGCCAGCCTTTTCCAGCGCGGACCGCACTCCGTGAATCGTGGCGTTGAACTGTATTGTTCCCACCATGGCGATCGTCTTCCCGGGAGCAAAGTTCCGTTCCAACGTAGCAAGGAGGTGTGAGGTGTCAATGCTAATGTCAACAAAGACGTAGAGCGTCTTGATCTTGGTCACGTCCACGGGGATGAGACAGCTGTGGGCGTAGTGAACCAGCAAGTCGCAGCCCATGGCCCGCGCCGTGTAGTCATCGATGCAGCATGCGCCGTACGTCACATCGCCCATGATCAGCGTCTCGATTCCCGGGCAAAACTGGGTGAGGATATCCGAGATGGTGGTTGCGAAAAGCAGCAGACCCTCGGGCATCTGCAACGCTACCCTCTTGGCACCCAACGTGCGGATGCGGTGAATGGTCTTGGGTATTTCAAATGAATAATTTGCTGGGAGAAGGGCTATCGCCGCCTTGAGAGCTTCATCATTGAGGATCTCTGGTGGCACTTGGTTCAGCATTCTCGGGGCCTTCCTCGGCTGCACGACTGTAACGGCGTATCAGCCTCCGATTCCACCAGCTCACATTTCAGAGCACGCGATACCTTGAATGGCCCCGCTGTCTTCGAGCGAGACGCTTCCCGGGGCTGCTTTGGATGCCTCGGCTGCGGCCCGTCTGCCAACGAAGCGTCTCTTGGGCTGTTTTAGCGCATTTGGAACCGGTTGACTTTGCTCGATGTCGGCTGCGATGCCCAAATCGACAAGCGCTCGGTCTTCCTCCATGACTTTATTCGGAAGAGCCTTCCAAAGATCAAGGCCTCTGAGACCTCACTTTCTGGGAGGATGAATGGTTGCCGAGCTTATGGAGCGGCGATTGTGTGGTCTAGGAGGCGATGAGTCTCAGAACTCGGGGTCCGTCTTGTTCAAGTAGAGGCAACCTGTAATTATAGGCATATGGAACTCAAGCGAGGCCTGTCTCGGAGACCATTTTCATTGCCAAGTTTTGGAATCAGATGCCAATCTTTGGAATTCAGGCTTCTGTCCACCTTCAAGACGCCACATCTATACCTCACCATTACAGTTCCTCTGGTAGGTTTTCTTAGGGTGAGGCGGAAGGCGGGTGGTTCTTCATGCCAAGCTTCGAGACTCACGAGGAGGCAAGGCTGGGGTGCCCCACCGTAGTTACTTTTTGCAAGAGGATCCATAAATTCTAGCCAATCAAAGTTTGCAGCAATTGTGCCCTAAGAACCTCTTGTGGTTGGCGAACACACAAAACCTTTGCTTCGATTTATCTCGTGTCCGTCTGCAGCATCACCGACGTTCAGCAAATACCGCCAAAATGAAGGTGAGAATTCTCATATCAAACTGCAGACAGACTGGATTATCCAATCCTGCCTGTTTGGAAATTCACGATACTGACCCTACGTTTTAGCTGAACATTTCGCACCCTGCGAACGGCTCGCAGAAGCTGATCGAGGTCGAAGATGAGCGCAAGCTCAGGCACTTCTACGAGTATGTCTTCGGCACTAGTACACATGTCAATTGCAGGCCATTAACTGACTTTGTATCGCAGGAAGCGCGTATGTTCCGCATCGATTTCCGAACCGCGAACCGTTTGCAGACGTACTGACTCGACCAGATGGGTGCTGAGGTACCCGGCGACCCGCTCGGCGACGAGTGGAAGGGATACATTCTCCGTATTACCGGCGGCAACGACAAGCAGGGTTTCCCGATGAAGCAGGGCGTTATTGCGCCTACCCGTGTCCGTCTCCTCCTCTCCGAGGGCCACTCATGCTACCGCCCCCGCCGCACCGGCGAGCGCAAGCGCAAGTCTGTCCGCGGCTGCATCGTCGGCTCCGATCTTTCCGTCCTCGCTCTGTCTATCGTCAAGCAAGGCGAGCAAGACATTCCCGGCCTCACCGACACCGTCCACCCCAAGCGCCTCGGCCCCAAGCGTGCCACCAAGATCCGGCGATTCTTTGGCCTCAGCAAGGATGACGATGTATGTGCCGCGTGCCATTTCATTCCCGTCATCGCCTGCCCTGGAGCTGCGACGATGACGATACGCATCGCGCAGTTCGGGTAGAGTCTGAGATACGATTGGAGGCTAATACGGGAAACGTTGCTCGGAAAATAGGTTCGCAAGTACGTTATCAGGCGTGAGGTCCAGCCTAAGGGCGAGGGCAAGAAGCCTTACACCAAGGCTCCTCGCATCCAGCGCCTGGTTACTCCCCAGCGCCTGCAGCATAAGCGCCACCGCATTGCGCTCAAGCGCCGCCAGGCCGAGAAGGTGAAGGATGAGGCGGTACGTCTTTCGATGCATCATACCGTGAGAGACCAGTGCTGACCGTGACAAAGAACGAGTACGCTCAGATCCTGGCCAAGCGCGTCGCCGAGGCCAAGGCTCAGAAGGCCGATCTCCGCAAGCGGAGAGCCAGCTCGATGCGCAAGTAAAAATTGGGCGTTTGGTAATGGGTCTCTGGTTGCTTTCGGAAAAGGGTCATGGCGTGTTTTGTTTGCAGACTCATTTGGGACGTGTACATGGCATAGAAAGCTTTCACGAAATCTCGACTATGAGTCTTGCTTTGAGTTTCTCAGCATTGGGTTGAGCGAGTCAAAGGCGGACAAGCAAGAAGCACCTGAGGGCATGATGCCAACACCCTTACCGTGATGCAAAGCATGGGAGGGGTTACTATGACTCTCGGAACCGACATTTCCGCATCAAGTATGGCACTCTACGCGCTCTAGGCACACCAAATTGCTTGATCAGGACGAGGTTGAGGTGAAACTACTCTGTGTAGAGAGTTGGCCTGTCCCTAATCAAGTTCACGCACTTTCAATCCTGCGATTTGACATCTGAAGGCATCTGAATACCTAGACTTTGGCCATCATTGACAGGGATCCGTGAATACGGTAAGCATACTTACACTTAGGCAATGGATTGTTCGTGACCGTCGAGAATGGTAGATCATGGAGGTAGGCAGTTTCCTTTGCCGTCGTATCTGTTCTTTGCCTGGACTAGGCTGACTGCTTTTCTTGGGCGCTTACTCCGGCGGTTGAACCAAGAGACTGTTTTCCCATCTACATTTGCCTCTTATTAGGGGCAATCTGCATGCTCAGGTAGCAAACCCATGAAACCGAAGTTGTGCCTTTGTTCATTCTTGCGTCGCTTGACACTGAAGTTTGTAGCAATTGCTTAGGCTTCTGAAAACCAGGACTTGCAGTGTGTGTCTCCGCTGATCGGTCGCCTCTCTGTCTTACCAGTGACTGCCGTCTATGCTGGCTCGGTCCCTCAGCCTCGGGCTGACAGCCTGACAGCTAGGTAAATTGCCTTTATTTGGTTGGGTTGGCCTTATCATCAGCCTTCAATGTCTTGTTCGTAAAGTTTTGTGGTCATGGTCATCCCTAAGCAGCTTCAACTCGAATTATTGCCTGTTGCACATGCTTGTTGTCCTCGCAGAAGTGTAGGCATCCGAAGGCAAGAAGCACCCCCGGGAAAGTGAACTTTTACGCGTAGCACCCGCGTTCCTCCTCAGCGGGGAATAACTGATAAGATTGCAAATCGCGGCCTTGCCCCACTTAATGACGGTAGATTGCCAGTGCGGGCGGCATTTGCCGGGGGCCGAACTTTTCTGCTCTGAGGTGGTTGCTCCATCCACCTAGTTCGTACCTGACCACCAGCTGCCGTCATTGCCTTTTATTAACCCTCCGCCAAAAAGGTCTGGTGCTCTCTGACGGTAAAGCAAACCTGAACATTCTCACCATCGCCACAACCATTTCGCGACACTTTTTTACCTCGAAACCGACCGATACTGCGAATATTTGGGTTTGCTGACCCAGCCTTTTGAGTTCCAGCTCCTCGTCTGGCCCGATTCGAGAAATTCAAGGCGACCTGCACTCGTCTTACCTGTCGTCGGACCCGGGCAAGCTTCGGCCGGCGGCTACGAAGCTCGTTAGGTTCAGCTCATTCGGCAAATTCCCTTCATCATTCACCGCGTCACCACCCTCCTGTCGCCTCGTAGTTAGTTCGATTTGTCCTTCTGGTCGTGCACGTTTATTTCCGAGGGCATTAGCGATTTGACTTCCGCAATCTCCACACGCTGCGAGTTACACGCGAGGCCACTGTCCAGTACCTGGACCTTCGGGTAGTGGAGGGGGAATTTCTACCTTTTTCAGCCCTGGCGGCTTGGCCGCTTCGTCAACATGGGCAAAATCACCAAGACTATGCAGCCCCGGCACAGGGAAACCTTGGTAAGTATTACTTGTCGTGGCTACCGTCCGCCCCGTGTACTGACCTCCTCGTGACTAGTCGCCCTGGTTGAGAGATTACGTCCAGGCTGCGTCGTCTCTACCGCTGCCCCTCATTCCGGGGAAGCTCGACGAGTTCCCGACAAGGTGGCCGTTCCCTCGTGGAGATCTCCATCACTGGATTCCACTTCTGAATCGGTTTGACAACATCCTCGAGGCATTTTGCGCCACCTACAAGCTACAAGAGGGCTTTCAGACTCGGGATTTTGCGTGCGATCTTCTCCTGAACAAAGGGGCCCCGGTCGAGTACGGCGATGGGGAAGCGTGGAGCAAGGAGCGACTGGTACAGTTGGGCTACAAGGATGATGGCGACTGCCGGCTTATCCTATCCATCCTCAACTTCACCGGGGTGCTGCTTCAGCACTGCGGAAACCGGAGCATATACGCCAGCAGCCATCATCTAAATGACCTGCTGAACACCACATCTCTGGAGGTCGTCTTTGCAACGCTCCAGGTTGGCCTGGAGTTAGCACAGCGTTATCAAGCCTCGATCAAGCGTCTGCCTGCTCCTAGCCGTCAAGTGAGCAGTGCTCTACTGGCAAACCATTACAACATTGATCTTGATAGGGTGCTATGCCTGTCGCAGCCTTTCGTAAAGACCCCAATATCCCCGGTCGCTCGTTTTGCGGATATCCCGCCAACTACTCCGGCCTCGGCAACCAAGGGCAAAGACAAAGCCGTTGAACCCGGGCATAAGAGCGTGGCCGTGATGTATGCAAATGATTTGACCTCCCTCATTGCACCTGGGCCCGCAGATGATGCACGCTGGAACGGCTGGGGGGACGTCAGAATTGGGTATTATCCCCAAACAGAGTCGCTCGCTCAAGAGCCTCAGGCTGGCGACCGTGGCCCTTCCGCAGGCCCCACGACTCCTAGTCCTCTCCGACGGAGCTCTACGGGCATAACACAAACCCCGCGCTTGAATAGGTTCTCTGGCGCTGAAGACAGCCCATCAAGTCGGAGCCAGGGAGCAAGCGGCGAAGGGGATGCTGCCGCTGGGTTCAAGACTATCCAGATCCGCCAATCTACCGTGCAGTCGACCTCCATTTATGACCTTCTCAAACTATGCCCGGCCGACCTGCCTAAGCCGACCCGTTATGAATTCCTCAACCGGTTGAGGATATGCAAAGCGCTGCTCGGATCTTCCGAGGATCGCCAATTGGCGCTGGCTGTTCGGCTACTGGCGATTACGAACCTCGCATATATCCATAACGAATCGACATTTGCAGAAAAGGTTCTGAAGCAGGACAACGACGAGCCCCGCAGATACCAGCTCGTGTATCAGCTTGCCGAACTGATCCATCCCTCGGTCGACGGGGCGCCGGATACACCTCTCCGACTGCAGGCCATCGCACTCGCCGCTCTTCAGGCTATCAGTGTCGTGCCCGCCAAGTACGCTGACGTGCTGTCGGCGCTGAACGCCAATGTCAACCACGGCGTTCTCTTGTACGTGGTCCGGAAGGCGGTGGCTAGCATGAAGGAGGATCCAGTCGAGCCTGATGAGGGGAAGGTAACCGATGCTGATCACTGGCGGGCTGCACTCTTCGCCTTGACTCTCCATATGGCCATGTCCTCTCGAATTGGGCAAGAGATGGCATCTGCTGGGCTGCTTGAGGTTTTGGTCGAAATCCTCAACCTTCGCTCCAAGGTCGCCAGCCGGAACTATAGCATGGTTCTTGGTTTTCTTGACAACATTGTTTACAATTACCAAGGCGCATTTACCGCCTTCAGCAACGCTTCGGGATTGGACGCCATCTCCAACCTCATCGTGGACACGGTCAAGCTCTCGAAGGACTTGGTCGCGGCCGGACAAGGAACGAGACCCGAGTTCCACGCACAGCTGGTCGACTATGAGATTCCTTTCTATCAGCAGCAAACACTGAAGTGGCTTCTCAAGTTCATCCACCACATCATGACCAATGCTTTCACGTTTGGAGCCAATACCGATCGCCTTCTGAGAAACTTGGTAGATAATTCTTCCTTGTTAACCAGTCTCAGGGCCATTATCGAAGAGATGCGTGTCTTTGGGTCCGTGGTCTGGACGAATGCTGCTACCCTGCTAGGCGATTTCATCAACAACGACCCAACGAGTTTTGCGGCCATCTCGGAGTCGGGCATGATCAAGAGTTTTCTTCAGGCCCTTACCGGTAAAGAGGTTACGCAGCCGAAGCCTCCGGGCACCCCAAGGCCAGATGCTCATGATGGCGAGGATGTTGGTTCACCGGATTATTCCGAGGACTCGGTCATTTTCGAGAGCGACGACCGGCCGCACCCTCCGACGCAAGAGATACTTGACGCTCCCAGGGAGCAACTCGCGCGTGGGGTCCTCGCTTCTTCGGATGCCATCAACATCATACCCTCTGTGCTGAATTCCATATCCCTGAACAACGCTGGGATGGGGATGATTGTGGCTGCGAATGCCCTAGATAGCTTCTTGGAGATATTTGAAAGCCCAGAGCATGTCCAGGTCATGTCGACAACTGACCCCGATCTCCCTAGCAACCTCGGTAGCAGCTTTGACGAGCTTGCTCGCCATCATCCTGCGCTACGACCTACGATTTCTAATGCTGTTATCGACATGATAGCCAGGGTTCTGCATTTCGCAAAGACCAAATCCGCAACCGCGGGGTGGGGTGCTAAGCTTATGGTTGTCGACCCTAGTGGGACGGCCGTAAATGCGGACGACAGCTTGATCGCTAGGATGGAAGCCCCAGTGACCACCTCTAAAGGCAAAGAAAAGTCCACGGCACATGATACGGATGTAGAGATGGCGGACGTCGGCCTCCAGCCCCCTGCGGATCCTCCTACGAATAATGACTCTGAACCTGAAGCCCGAAGGGCCACAGGATCCTCCGATGAGATCGCGCCGTATGTCTGGGCTGCGTCATCGTTCCTCAACACCCTGTTTGGCAACTCCAGCCTGAAGTCCACGTTCATCCGCGAGGGTGGTATCGAGCTGCTCCTGGAGCTGTCTGAAGCCCCGAGCCTCCCTGAAGATTTTGAGACGACAACAGCGTCGCGCATGCTCTCCCAGGTCCTTGCACAGCTCATCGAGGCTAGCCCGGTGCTTGGGGTCCCCTCTTTACTCAACAGAATCCACGCTGCTGTCCAGGACTTGCAGCCACTTGTTGGCAGAGAGGGCGTCTATCCGTTCTTCGCCCCTTTTATCGTCCCGGACTTTTCACTTGTGAACGACAAGGGGGAGTGGGACAGGATTTTGGTGCGCAAGGTTGCCAGCGGGACTCGAGTCGTCAAGGCCTTGGTCAAACTGCAGACCCTTGTCAAGACTCTCTATCAGAGCTTCCCCTATTCAACGAGACACAACGTAGTTACGATGCCAGCTGTGAACGTCTTTGACTACTTCACCGCTCTCATCAAGCGTCTCGGACCACTTCTTAGAGACATTATTACCGAAGAGATGGCGATTGCTGCCCTTGTCCCTCAGCATTGGACTGGGAACAAGCCGTCATCCCAGGATGGCGCCGAATTTCTAGCCCCAGCTGGCCTTACTCCCGCTGACGGCGATGCACAGGAGGAGGAAGCCACTCTTCCCACCTCAGGAAGCAAGCCAGTGGAACCGTCAATGCAGGTCACGAAGCCAACAAGAGAAGAGCGGTCCACAACCCAGTTTCAGAATTATTTCACCATTCACCGTCTCCTGCATTCGTTGACTCCGAGCATACTTCCCTTCTTTCAGACGATTGGGAAGACACTCTTACCCAGACGAGGCGCTGACTCCTTCGTTCGATCAAACCACATGATCATCGCAGAAGCTTTGGCGAACACGATCCTCGAACAGCTGAAAATGTCGCAAGAGAAACTCACGGCCAAGAACCTGCATTATTGGATCATGATGTTCCACACCCTGCGTGAGATGCTCATTGATCCAACACGCCAGACCGAGCGTGCAGGCGTTCAGCTAATCCTGCCTGTTTTGGTGGCGTTCAAAGAGCTTGGTGGACTAGACGTGCTGAATGTCATGCTTGGAAAGTTCGCCGAGGAGATTCGCAGTGGCGCAACCGAGGGCGAAGAGGCCCACAAAGTGCGGTTGGCTACGGTTGGGATGAAGAAGATACTTGACATATACCACGTCATTGTCAACGGCAAAAATGTCAACGAATCCCTTGCACAGACAAGCATAATTTCGCGGTCTACAGATCGGAACAGGGACTTTGGCAATCAGCTTGTCGTGGAGCTACGATTAGCTGTTTTGCCCACCGCACGTAAGCTTTGGGAGTCGGAGCTTGCCGAGAAGGCGCCCACGCCTGTGTTGAGCAGGCTTATTGATATTCTCAAGACCATCTCGGCCGCCGATCACGAGTCCAATGTTTGGCGCAAGTCAGACAAGACATCCCCGCCATCTGTGTTCAAGAATCGCGAGACGGTACGGTTCAGCTGGGCGTCACACTCGGAACAGGTTAGCAACTTGACCCGCCTGGACTATGACGAAGACTTGGCACGGGAGGCTGTCTATCGTGCGAACGGGAAGTTCGAAGATACCACAGAGTACTGCCGAGCTCATTCCAAGGGATTAGCTGGGAAGCGTAATCCTATCCCTGAGGAGGATGCTTACCGGAGTCCGCCATCACCAAGGCCGCAGCAAGCCCAGGGCGAGGGCTCGGTTATATCGCTGGCAGATGCTCTGGGGTCATCTGCGGGTCCTATGGCGCTCGACTCGATGCCCGAAATCAATAATTTCATCAGGGATGCCATTGGCGAAGCAGTGCTCGGAGACCTTGGCGACCACTCCTCTGACGAGTCAAATTCGCCCAGCCGCGAGAGTTCTAGTCAGCATTCCGCTAGTCAGGAAGCAAGCGGCGGGTCCCCCGCACAGCCAGTGGTTGCTTCATCAGGTTCACTCGTAGCACCTCAGGCGGCCCCCTCGACTGCGAAAGAAGATCTAGACAAGGAACGGGCAGAGCTACAGAATGATCTCATCGACCGCTGCCTTGATGTTGTCAGGGCCCATCCAGATTCTGTATTTGAGGTTTCCGACCTGATTCATTCAACAATTCTCAGGTCGGATAACGAGGACAAACGCACAGAAGTCGGCGAGATCCTCGCGAACGCTCTCATGTCTTACGCTATGAACGACGATGACGAGAAAAAGGCAAATGGTCGAGGGATAGCTGCCTATGCTCATTTGTTATCCCTGCTCCTTCAAAATCGGCCCTTCTTCAAGTCCACACTGCCCACACTGAAGCAGAACGTCAATGAATACCTCGGCTTTCTGAAGGTATCCCCGGCCAGCTCCAGCGAAGAGCTCCCTCCATGGATGCCGTATATTCTCCTGATCTTTGAGATTCTTTTGTCGGATGACGAGCAGCCCGTGGAGGCGGAGTGGAAGCCGCCTGTCAAGGATGATGATCCTGTTGAGCAGCCAGTGTGGACGGTCAAGGAGCATACCGTGTCGGACGAGGCCCGATCTGATCTTCTCACCGCGGTCCTGGATATCCTGCCAAGAGTTGGCAAGGAGGAACCGCTTGCTGTCTCTGTCTTGCGGATTCTCGTGATTCTCACCAGGGACCACGCAATAGCTAAAACAGTTGGCGAGAAGCGCAATCTTCAGCGTCTGTTCGTTATGGCGAAGCAGTCGTGTAGTGGAGGTTCTGCCCGTCTCAATCAGTCCCACATATCTGACAACATCATGATCATTCTGCGTCACATTGTAGAAGACGAAGAGCTCATCCGCCAGATGATGCAGACCGAAATTCGCCAGTACTTGACAATGTCTCGGGGCACCAGGTCTTGCGATGTCCACAACTACTTGCGACACCTTTCGCATGTTGCGCTTCGGGCCCCCAAGCTCTTCGTCGATGTCACCACGGAGTTGGTGAAACTGGCTCGTTGGTCCTCCCCGTCAGTTGACGGAGCTCCGCGCACCCACAGCCTCTCATTAAAGGAAAAGACGGCGGAGCAAGCGACTCCTCCAAAGGATGGCTCTGTTGAACCTGCGGTTCAAGCGACGGAAGACCTCACTATCCACGATGTCAAGCCATCGACAGAGGCTACAGACAAGGAGATGACAGATGCACCGAAGACCCCCTTCGAGTCAAAGCGGCCGGTTCTCGAACACCCCGACGGCGTCGTCCACTTCTTGCTGTGCGAGCTGCTCAACTACCGCGAGGTCGATGACAAGGAGCCTCCGAGCCAAGCCCTCAAGGAATCGAAACTGGAAGAAGAGTCTCCTAGCGCAAGTAAAGAGGCCACGCCGTCTCCTGCAGACCCAGAGACTTCTGAAGGAAAAGAAAGGGACAGGAAGTCGTCCAAGCCAACTTTCAAAGCCGAAGACCACCCTATCTTCGTCTATCGTTGTTTCCTGCTGAATTGCCTGGCAGAACTCTTGCAAAGCTTCAATCGTTGCAAGGTCGAATTCATCAACTTCAAGCGCAGCGCACCAATGCAGACGAACACACCTATCAAGCCGCGTTCGAGCATTCTGAACTACCTGCTCAACGATTTGCTCTGCTCGACGGCCGCAGGTCTGCCGACGGACTCGACGCTAACTAAGAAGAAGGCGGCGACGTCGCATCATGCGCAGGCGGTGCTCGTAGCCCTGGTGGCGCGGACGCCGGAGAAGCCTATTGATCGCACCCGAGACCAATTCGAGTATGACGACGATCTGGACCTGCTCTTCGTCCGCCGTTTCGTGCTAGACACGGTCCTACGTGCCTATAAAGAAGCATCTGCTTCGAGCGAGCCTTTCGATGTGCGCTCTTCCAAGATGATATGCACCGCCGAACTGATGAGCGTGATGATTGGCGAGGGAAAGGACAAGGATAACCAGCCCAAGAATGAGCGTGGGAAAGACCCTGCTCTCGTCCGGTCTGAAATGCAACTGAAGCGCCTCATGTACGAGAAGGGCTATCTCGCTGCACTTACCGCATCCATCGCAGACATTGATCTCAGCTTCCCCAACGTCAAACGTACCATCAAGTACATCCTGCGGGTCCTCCGGTCCCTGACAAAGACGGCTTACCAGCTAAGCCAGTCCGAGATCATTCCAGCGACAGCGACCGATCAGCCAGAGGACGATTTTGCATCAGCATCATCACTCTCGGATCTAGACGACGATCGCGAGGAGACTCCTGATCTATACCGCAACTCCACGCTCGGAATGCTTGAGCCGGGTCGTGAGGAAGACTCCACTGAGGAGTCGGAAGAAGGTCTTTATTCCTGACCACAGAATTGCGCTGAATATGACCGCTAACTTTACCTTTTCATTAGATGACGACGCCATGTACGATGATGAACCTTATGACGACGAACTAGATTACGGGGACGAGATGTCTGAGGACGAAGAAGAGAACCCTAGTGATGAAGACGAAGAGGAGCTGGGCGAAATGGGCGAAATCGAAGGCCTTCCCGGCGAGCCAGGTGTCGTGGAAGTGATCATGGGCGAGAATGACGACGAAGACGAAGACATGGACGAGGATGATGAGGACGAGGCCAGCGACGAGGAGGACGAAGACGAAATGGACTCAGACGACATGGAAGAGGTCGAGGACCAGGTTGAAATCGTCGACGAGGAGGGCAATGCCATTGAAGATGATGGGGCCTCGGGTTGGGAGAGCGAGACCGACGAGAACGAAGAAGACCAGGAGGAGCTCGACTATGAGGCCGAAGTACAACACATTGTACGGGAAATGACGGAAGGAATGCGCCCTATGCGGATGCCCGACATTCTACGGGCAGTTGTCGACGGAGATGACCTTGATGGGGAGGATATTCACGACGACTTCGATGAACGCTTCCTTGATGAGCCCGCTGAAGATGATGGTAAGCACAGCCTGCCCTTTTCGATTGGTCTCAGCTGACCTAGGAAAGATGAGGAAGAGGAGGATGAAGGTGAGGAGGATGAGGTGTATTACGAACAGGCTCATCCTCGTGAGTTTCACTCGACTTGCCGCCTACCATAATTACCCTGTCACTGACTTGCGTTAGATGATGATCACCCGCCTCCGAACATGCCATCAGGCCTTGGTTGGGACATCGCGATTGAACCTGGTAGCCGTTTCAGACCGGGCGGCACTAGAAGCCCATTCCCGGCTGCGCCATTCATGATGGGAGGACACCGTGAACCCGGCTGGCCTGGTACGTCCCTCACCAGCGCTAGACGGCATGATCGGACACTAGGCATACTAGACCGGTTCATTCTATCAGAACCCTCTGGTCACAACCTAGATCGTCTTCATAACCCTTTGCTTTTGGATACAATCGAATCTGTTGCTAACTTGCCACCAGACTTCCGTAGCTACATGCGCGGCGGCCATACGCGGCCACCTCCCAATACGACGGACGATGGCGTCAATCCTTTGTTGCTTTCCAATAACCGACCTGGGCCAGAGCCGTCTCCTCGCGCTGGTGGTGGACACATGATCCGCCTCGGCTTCCCGAATGGCCTGATGGGCCCTGGTATGGATGCGCCCCTTGCTTTCATCAACGACCTGATGCAGACCTTACCACTGGCTGCGCGAGGCGGCCCTGCTCTTAGCCTTCAACTGAGACATGAAGGCCCGGCAGGTGAGATTCGTCACGTGAACATCCCGTTGGGTATGGGCCCTCCCGGTCGTGAGACTCGTTGGGAACCCCGACGTGAGGCATACCAGGAGCCTCATCAAGCCGTCGCTTTCACCCCAGAAATCACTGCCGAGCGATGGCAACAGGAAGCCAAGATGATCTTTGGCGTCAACCACTATGAGAAGTCAAGGCTTCTGTCTACCGCAATCCTCGGAATGCTCACTCCAGCCGCCATTCAGCTTGAAAAGGAGGCCAAAGCTCGCGCAGAAGAAGAGAAGCGCCTGCGAGAAGAGGAGCGCAAGCGGCGTGAGGAGGAGGAGCGTAAGGAGAGGGAGGCCAAGGAAGCCGAAGAGAAAGCCGCGAGGGAGAAGAAAGAAGCCGAGGAGCGCGAGCGACAGGAGCGGGAGCGGGCTGAGGCCGAAGCAGCTCGTGCGTCCGAGGAGGCGGCCGCGGGCGCTGAGCGGGTTGCCGAGGAACCTCAAGCCATGGAAGGGGTCGAGACTCATGGGGAACGCGAAACCGAGCAACAGCAGCCGAGCGCTCCGGCACAACGTGTCGTTACAGTTATCCGCGGCGAGACTGTAGATGTCACCGAGCTCGGGATCGACCCGGAATATCTCGAAGCTCTTCCTGAAGAGTTTAGAGAGGAGGTGATCGCCCAAACCATCAGTGCCCGTCGCTCACAGGCTCGCGAACAAGCCACTAATGAGGGAGAAAACACCGAGGTCTTCCAAGAATTTCTCGAAGCCCTGCCCGACGAATTGCGGATGGAGATTGTGCAGCAGGAACGCCAAGAACGCCGCCGCCGGGAGCGTGATGAGCAACGTAGACAAGCTGCGGCAGCGGGGCAGGATCTCGGTCCTGCAGACATGGATCCGGCAAGCATTCTGTTGACATTCCCGCCTGCGCTCCGCGAACAGGTCCTGATGGACCAAGGCGAAGACATCATGGAACATCTACCCCCTGAACTGGCTGCCGAGGCTCGCGCGCTTGCACAACGTCATAACCGATATCACCCGCCACCTGCAGTCGCTCGCGCCCGGGACGTTGTGAGGCGGCCCGAGGTGGGCAATATCACGGAGACAAAGTTGCAGCGTCGCACGATTGTGCAAATGCTGGATAAAGCTGGTATCGCCACGCTCCTCCGTTTGATGTTCGTGAGCCAGCAGGGCCAAATTCGTAATCACCTATTCGATGTTTTCTCGCATGTGTGCGAGAACCGCCAGAACCGGCTGGAAGTTATCTCTAACCTCCTCCAGATTCTTCAAGATGGTAGCACCGACATGGATGCAGTGGAACGCAGCTTTAGCCAATTGTCCTTGAAGGCCAAGCAGCCGAAGGACAAGGACCCAAAGACGCCGCAAAGTCTTAAGCGGACGCTCACAACCATCAGCGCCCACGGTCATACAATGAACAATTCCGAGGTTTCACCTTTGCTAGTTGTCCAGCAATGCCTCGACCTCCTTCAGGAGCTGGCAACGAAGAATCCCCATATCACATCCCTCTTCTTGACCGAGCATGAGACTGTGGCATCGACGCTCAAGCGAAGCACGAGCCGCAAGGGTAAGGGCAAAGATGTCAACTCAAAGGCTCAAAAATACGCCATCAATTCGCTCTTGGCTCTCCTTGATAGGAGCCTGGTTATGGAGAGTTCGGCTGTTATGCAGCTGCTCGCGGACCTGCTCAACAAGGTTACGTATCCTCTGCAAGCTCTGGAGCGCCGGCGCCGGGAGGCTGAGGAGGAGGCAAAGAAGGCAGAGGAGAAAGCCAAGGAGCAGAAGGCCGAGTCAGGTGCCGAGACCGGCAATCCGGAAACAGCTGATGCATCGGGAGAGCGGCATACTGCGCCGCAGACTGTTGATACCGCACTTGAAGCCTCTGCCGAAGAGCAGACGGCGGCCCAAGGCGGCGGGCAACCAGGGGCGGAAAGCTCAACCGCTAAGGAGTCAAAGCCAGAGGAGAAGAAGGTGCGGCTGCTTACTCCGCCGACCATACCTGACCAGAATCTCAGATTGGTCATCAACATCTTCGTGGCGCGGGAATGCAGTTCGAAGACGTTCCAGAACACCATCTCAACCATCAAGAATCTCTCGAACATACCTGGGGCCAAGAAGATCTTCGGTGAAGAGCTCGTCTCGCAGGCCAGAGCGCTTAGTGAGAACATTGTTTCTGACCTCGATGACCTGCTTCCCCACATCCTTAGGGCGGAATCGGGGACGGAGATTCAAGGCATCGCATTGGCAAAGTTCTCGCCCGGCGCATCGGAGCAGAACAAGTTACTTCGTGTTCTGACTGCGCTAGACCACCTATTCGACAACAGCAAGGGCAAGAAGTCAAGCGGTGCTGCTGGAAACCACGAGGCCAGGGAGGAGACGAAGGAGGATCTGCTGGGCTCTCTGTACTGGAACCCAACGTTTGGTACGATGTGGGACAAGTTGAGCGCTTGTCTCAGCGCTATTCGACAGCGCGATAACATGCTCAACGTGGCAACTATCTTGCTGCCGCTCATTGAGTCCTTGATGGTGGTCTGCAAGAATACCGCGCTGAATGATGTCCCCATTTCACAGGGCACGGCAGCAAAGGAAATGCTCTTGTCCAGTCCGCCACCTGAGAACCGCATTGCGGGCTTGTTCTTCACCTTCACGGAAGAGCATAGGCGTATCCTGAACGAGCTGGTCCGACAGAACCCTAAGCTCATGTCGGGCACATTCTCGCTCCTCGTCAAGAACCCCAAGGTTCTCGAGTTTGACAACAAGCGGAACTACTTCAATCGCAGCGTGCACTCAAAGACTGGCCACCAACAGGCGCGCCCCCAATATCAACCGCTGCAGCTCTCGGTGCGGCGGGAGCACGTCTTCCATGACTCGTTCAAGTCCCTCTACTTCAAGTCGGGGCCTGAAATGAAGTTTGGTAAGCTCAACATTCGCTTCCACGGAGAGGAGGGTGTCGATGCCGGCGGTGTCACGCGCGAGTGGTTCCAAGTGCTTGCGCGGCAGATGTTTGACCCCAACTACGCACTATTCATTCCCGTGTCGTCGGACCGCACCACGTTCCACCCCAACAAACTCAGCGGCATCAACGATGAGCACCTGATGTTCTTCAAGTTCATCGGTCGCATCATCGGCAAGGCGCTCTACGAAGGCCGGCTCCTCGACTGCTATTTCAGCCGTGCCGTCTACAAGCGAATACTCGGCAAGCCCGTGTCGGTCAAGGACATGGAGTCTTTCGATCCGGACTACTACAAGTCTCTTGTCTGGATGCTTGAGAACGACATCACGGACATTATTACCGAGACCTTCTCAGTCGAGGACGATGAGTTCGGCGTGACCAAGGTGGTGGACCTCATCGAAAACGGCCGGAATGTTCCGGTCACGGAGGAGAACAAGCACGAATATGTCCGGCTGATCGTCGAGCACAAACTTCTGACGTCGGTCAAGGACCAAATGGAGAACTTTTTGAAAGGTAAGTTGATTCTCTCCAACCGAGTTATGATTGATGCAATGTGGCTGATCCATATCGTTTTTAGGATTCCACGACATCATCCCTGAGGACCTCATTGCCATATTCAATGAGCAGGAGCTGGAACTGCTCATCTCAGGCCTGCCTGACATCGATGTGGATGACTGGAAGAGCAACACCGAGTATCACAATTACACGGCGGCCTCGCAGCAGATCCAGTGGTTCTGGCGGGCGGTGCGCTCATTCGACAAGGAAGAGCGGGCCAAGCTCCTACAGTTTGTGACGGGCACCTCCAAGGTGCCTTTGAACGGGTTCAAGGAGCTGGAAGGCATGAACGGAGTCAACCGGTTCAATATTCATCGCGACTATGGCAACAAGGAGCGGCTGCCTAGCTCGCACACTTGCTTTAACCGTGAGTTTCCCGCGTATCGCCGCCTTCAGATAGATCTAGCATGCTAACCACTTACCCCAGAGCTTGATCTTCCCGAGTATGAGAGCTACGAGACGCTCCGTGCCCAGCTGCTGAAGGCGATCACCGCCGGCAGCGACTACTTTGGTTTCGCATAGAAGAGGGGCATGTAGCTCGCGATTACGCGATGAACGTGCCCAGGGGGGTCATGAGATTGGAAGAGGAAAAGGGGAGGGAGGGCATAAATTGCCCAACCCGGTCACCAACAATGGTGCTACTCAAAGGGTGTACTAGGTATGATGGCATATTGCACTGGGTTTGGAGGAGGATGAGGAGGGTTTGCAAAGGGAGTGGTTGGCACGCGGCAGTGCTTTTTCTCGAGTGTACATTGATGTTTGAGCATATCTCTCAATCCCTTCCTGTCCCTTAGCATTCAATGGCCTTGGGGCGTACGAGGATGCGGAGTGCAGGCCGCTTCTTCGTGCTGCTGCTTGGCCTGGCGGGGACTGCTGGGTGGATAGAGTCATCAGATTTTGGGATGCATTTGGTAGGCAGAATGCATATGGCAAATGGTCGGCTCTTGAGAATTTTGTGACTGCAATGCACTTGTAGCTTTTCCATAAAGTTACCTATGTGTACGGATGCGTACAGTACAGCTTCGAATTTCAACTTGCTCTCATCGCGACTTCCACCTTCATCAGCAGAGCGCGCTGTCCCGCTGCCCCACCCTCTGGTTAGGTTCCTCGGTGATTGGCCAGTGCTCTGCCAAGAAGTGGTAGGGCTCCTCAACCCGGCAGCGGTCCAACCCAAGCACCGAACTTTTTTCGCCCACATTTTCCTGAAATCGATCGCCGACTTGGATCTCACTCTCGAACAACCGCTCAGTCAACGACCAGCGAGGTGAGTGATAACATTCGATTCCAACGTCCGTTATCTCGTCAATTCCTGCCGGAGTGCATACGTCGATCATCGCGGATACACGATTCCCGCTTCATTTCCAACTCCCAACGGCCTTTCCACCATCCGACACAGATCCATATTGCCAAAACCATCGACCTCGATCCACGAACTCTGGCTGACTAGAGCCTCTTTTGAACAGAGACCGGCAAGATGGGTATTTCTCGGGATTCTCGGCACAAGCGCGCCGCCACCGGCGCCAAGAGAGCGCAAGTTTTCTCCCTCTTTCATATGAAGTAGATATCTACGGGGTGGTTGCTAACACTATGTCTCTGCAGTTTCTACCGTATGTTCTGACACATCCCTCGTTCCGCCCACACAATGCCTCTCGGAGGGGCACTCGAAGGTCCGCTTGGAAGGTTCTTTGCGGCGGATCGAATGGTCACTTCTTTTAGGAGAGAGCAATCGACTGCCGCAAGAAACTGACCCCATGCGTTCCGACCTGTGACACGCACAATTAGAAATGAATCATTATTTCTGACCGCGCGTACAGGGAAGAAGAGAGCCTTCGAGGCAGGTCGCCAGCCTGCGAATACCCGTATCGGCCCCAAGCGCATCCACGTCGTCCGCACCCGCGGCGGCAACCACAAGTACCGTGCGCTGCGTCTCGACTCGGGCAACTTTGCCTGGGCTTCGGAGGGGTGCACGCGCAAGACCCGTGTCATTGTGGTCTCATGTACGTTCTTGCAACCCAACAGAACTTTGTTGTAGTTTCCAAAGCGCCTTGGCTCACCCTTGCAACCAGACCACCCGTCAAACAACGAGCTCGTCCGCACCAACACCCTGACCAAGTCTGCCGTTGTCCAGGTCGATGCTGCTCCCTTCCGGCAGTGGTACGAGGCCCACTACGGCCAGCCCCTCGGTCGCCGCCGCCAACAGAAGAGCGGTCAGGCCCCTGAGGAGACCAAGAAGAGCAAGTCAGTCGAGAAGAAGCAGGCCGCCCGCTTCGCCGCCTCGGGCAAGGTCGACCCTGCGCTCGAGAAGCAGTTCGAGGCCGGCCGTCTGTACGCCGTTATCTCCAGCCGGCCCGGCCAGTCCGGCCGCTGCGACGGCTACATCTTGGAAGGTGAAGAGCTCGCCTTCTACCAGCGCAAGCTGCACAAATAAAGCGCTGGGCTTGGCGGTCGTGGTTGTTGGGGGACAAAAATAATCTTTCTTGAGCATGGGCTGGCATTCCGTTTATGTGCCTCGGTGTTTGATGGGATATGACATTCTATGCTGCTTTGCTGCCCCATCTCGTCTCGAGTTTTGGTGGCATATTCGGGCATGAAACGGCGGCCCATTGCGGATTCATTTCCACTTGCGTTGTCACCGGTAACAGGGCATGGCAGGGAGGGATGGTTAGGGCAATGGAAAATGAATACATACCACCATCATGAAAGAAGCTGACCGAGCCAAGTCAATCGAGCCAGACTAGATCATCACGGTGTCTTATCTGTATGTCGTGACCTGCTCGCTAATGCGTGTTGAGCTTGGAGTTGAGTTACAGCGACTTGTAATGACTTGATCAAGCCAGAGATGGTCACCCGTCCCCTGTGTTTGCTGTTAGGTGACGGCAGTCAGAGCCCAGCTGGCTAAATCATGCGGACAACATGTAGATTTGTTGGTCCATAAGCTTGCTCTCTTTGGCCCTGTCTATGTGTATCTTTATTCCTTCTCCTCAGTAGTCTTATAGCGTTGAGTGTGTAAGCAAAAGATTTGCCACTGTTTCAACCAACACCCACCCAGCCAAGTGCTTTCTTTGCCAGCCACCAACAACACAATGTACACAGTAAACGACGGGAAAGGCCGACCGAATAAGCCAAGCACGGATGGCCAAGCCAATGCATTGGTTCTTGATGCTGATCATCTCACGACAAGTGAGCGGTTAGCCACCCACCCCAAAGGAAACCATGATCCTGATATAGATGTATCCCATTCCCTATTCCATGGATGCATGAAAGACGACAGTTCCCCTTACCGAGCGCCCTTTGATTCCGCTATCTGTGCTTTGCCATTGCCTTGCCTTGCCATTGCGCTGTCTGACAACTGACAAACAAATCTTTTCCAACGCCATCACTTCTATTGTTCAATACTCCGATGCCTAATACAACCGGTATACCAGGGAGTGCTGACTGCTGGTGTGGGTGAGCCAGTCAAGGGTTGTGATACTAGCAGATGCAAATGAGGAATGTTGAAGCAGAGACAGAGGCAGAAGACTCATTGAAACTGCCTCTTGAGGTCGGTCCATTTCCGCGTGAGAGTCTCGTGCTGCGAGTTGATCTGCATATCATACTGTCAGTGGGAATCCCGAGAGAGGAAAGAACAAAATCAGAACAAGCATGACTTACCTCCGCATACTGCATCTTGGTCTGCACCAGCTCCTCCTCGAGCTCTGAGAGCTCCTTCTCCAACCTCTGGTTCTCCTCATGTACCTTCCCATTCCGCTTCATCAGGTCATCCCTCTCAAGCTGCCATGCCGCTTCTATCTCGGCCGGCTGCTTCTCAATCACGATCCGCAACTCCTTGACTTGGCCCTTGAGACTCTCGTTCTCGTCCTTGAGCTCCTCATTCTCGACCTTTGTCCTGACCAGCTCGGTCGCCAGCGCCGCTTGTTCCCGATCGACATCCTCGATCCGCTCCTCGAGCTTGCGCACCCTCACGGCATAGCTCGCATTGGCCGCCCTGAGACTCTCCAGTTCGGCTTCGCGCTCCTTTTCGGCGCGTGTCTTCTCCTCCCATTCAATCTGGTATGCCTTGAGCATGTCGGGGGTGATCCTGACCTCGCAGGCGTCGCGCACCAGCTGGTCGGCGCGGTAGACCTCCTTGTCAATGCTGCTCGAGGAGCTGCCAAAGAAGCCGTTCTCCAGGATAGAGGTGGAGGATGGCGAGGAGTCAATGTAAGCGTCAAACAGGCGGTCCTTGAGAAAGGACGTCAGCTGCGCCATGTCGGTGAGGGCGAGCAAGGCGGCTGCGTTCTTTTGCATGAGGACGATACCAAACTTGAGAATGGCAGACAGGCCTTCTGAGAAGATTAGGTCGTAGATACGAAGGACGAGTTGGAGCGGGAAGCGGTAAGCGAAGAGGGTCAGGAACCACTGAGTGGCATAGAGATGGGGAGAGATGCCGCGCCTCCGAAGGTGGCAGTAGAGTGCCGGCTCCAAGTCCTCCAAGAGGCGCTCAAATTGGTAAAGGTGCAGGTGGAGACCCGGCATGTCCTGGATGAAGAGTTCGCGGAGGTGGTACTGGTTCATTAGCCGCACTAGCAAACAGAAGGCTTCCCCGGCTGGCATCTGGTGTTCCGTTAGCAACAGGAAACAAGGATGGTGAGGGTGTATGGTGAGAGAAATGGCCTACATTGAAAAGAAGCGGCATGACGAGAAAATTCATGCCCTGAGCATAACCAACGGCTTCATCGAAGAGCGCATATGCCTTGCACACATTGAACAGGCTATCCTGAAGGCCCTGCGCAGCGGCGAATTTGAAGAAGCTTGTCCTAGCGCCAAGATCCCTTTTGATCGTTTTCTCGAGCTTCTGCAGCATTGCAATGTCCTCTTTTGCCTTTTTCTTCCGCTCTGCTGCGGCGGCAGCCGACTCTTTTTCTGTCGGCGACGGTGCACCATTGGGCCCCGAATGCTCCGAGTTGACCGAAGATGCAGACGACGTAGAGCCTTTGGTGCTCCCATTGAGTGCTGGACTTGCTCCAGACCCAGAGCTCTGCCTATCCTTCTCCTTCTCGGTGCCTCTCGCCGCAAGCTCCTCGTAGACGGCTTCCAGCTCCTCGTTTTTGCTCTGGGCAAGGACCTGCCAGATGACCCCGCGGATGGCACTCGGGATACCAGCGGCAATGGCCTTGTTCAGCTCCTCAGGACTTGTCCGAGCCACAGCGGCTGGGCCTTCGTAGACCACAGCCTGCCAAAGATCCCAATCCACCGGGGTGTCTTCCATGGACGATGGGCCAACGGTAACGCCCGAGGCGGTTCCAGGGGCGAGATTCGGGCTTTGTGGCAGCGGTGAAGCAAGAGGTGGTGCGGCTAGACTAGAGCCGTCGCCATTATCACTAGCCGCAACGCCGGCCCTTTCGTCTTCGACGGGAATGCCGGCCTCCTCCCTCATTCTAAGCAGCTTGAAGCGGTCCTTTAGGCTACTGCGCGACTGCCGGTCTCTCGCTCCCCCTTCATTCTCTTCCTCGAGCTTGCTCAGCATCATCTCCGGATTGCTCATCAAGGTGGCCACTGAGCTAGCTGTATTTCTCCTCGGGGACGGCGCGGCTCGTGTTACGGGCGGCTCCTTTGATGAGCTCCGCGAGAGCCAGGAAAAGGGGCTGTTGAACTTCCTGCTCGTGGTGGCCGGCGCTGAAGCAGGAGCAGGAGCAGGAGCTTGGGGGGCTGCGGCTGTGGCAGCTGGACTCTTAGCTGGTGACTCGTTTGCCGAAGGTGACCACGGCATGGGCGGGAGGGCATTTGTTATGCTGCCGAAAGAGAGGGTCTTGGAGGGTTTCTCGGGCGGGGGTGGCTTCTCTAAAATTGAGTCAATATTCTGCTGCATGACATGGGTAGGCAATGGGCCGACTTGCCTTGCGGCGCGGTAGCGGAAATCGTTGTTGTTGCCGAGTCATCGTCGAGGTTTACATTGTCGAGCGAACCGGCCGAGGCCTGCGACGGAGGCCGTGGTGTCTTATCTGTTGTCTGCTGATTCGGAGCATCGGGCTTGTCGTTGGCGGCGGCTAGGTGGGAAGCTTCCTCCTCGTAGTCGGAGTGGTCCTGGGCCGATTGTCGGTTGACGGGCTGTTGACGCTTTGTCAATGACCGAACAGAGCCGGTCTCGATGGCATCCTCGAAAGTCTCCTGTGCACAGCAGCGGATGATTAGCACAAGGAATACCGAGCGGTGTCTCTTGAGCCCTGTGGAAGGCAATGATAGCGTACGGTGTCCTTGTCTGAGCCGTCTCTCGACTGCGGCCGCTGCTGCTCTTCTGTCTGTTGCGAGTCCCGCGACTCTTGTTTGACTGTCTCTTCGGTGGCAGACATGTTTTTCCCTTCCCCAGGACCCACCGGTGCAGTCGTGGTGAGGGATTCGCGGGCCAAATCTTAGCTGGCGGAGGAAGTAGTGGTCCGCTGCGATGGTCACGGGCAGAGCGGTGCGGCCATGGAACTTAAAACCACCGTATCGGAGAGCACAAGGTCCAGAGCGTCAGCAAAAAGTTACAGTCAACCTCCAATTGCCCGGGAAACCGTTGCTGCGTCGTTTCGATCGCTAAAAAGTCGAGAATTCGTCAAGGTGGTGGAATATCTGAGAGTGCATGCGTGTGCAGCAGCGTCTCCCCTTTCCATCGAGGCTCTGATAATGAAACCAGGGGTTGACGGCTGCATCAGACCAAGTGGACTGGAGGAGCCGGCAACCGCTTGACGGGCCGCTGCGAACTGGGCCCAGTGCTTATTTAGTGTATGCGTATGGAAAGCGAACAATTACGAGTCATAATACCGGTAACCATTGTATACTGTGCTTACAATGGCACAGTACAACAATAGACCTGGGGTTTACGGTGTCAATTCAATATAAAAAGATAAAAGATGCATTGTTTCTTCTCTGTTTTTTTATCACCACGATAAACGAACGGACTACAGATCAATGCGCGTCGAGGGCTTGCAGGCCTGCCAACGTATTACAGGTGTGGCTGCTGGTAACGTACTGTGCGGCGCGTTCCACAGAGCTGCAGTCTGCAATGGAAGGAGCAGCCACAAGATCCACACAGAGATCTTGTTTCTGAAACGAAACGTTCCAGGGGATTGTAACCAGTAGGATGCTAGCTAACTATGGGTACCTGGGAGATACATGCTGTTCACGGCATGATAAGGCGATTTCGGTGTGTATTGGGCAATGCCAAGGTATTCAGAAGTACAGAACCTGTTGGTTCCGGGCAGCCAAGTTTGTTAGTCGACGGCTGCGGCTCTTGCAGCAACTTTGTCCATTCTTGAGTTTCGCTCGCAAAGACCTGGGCATCGCTGCTGTCGTCCGAGACTTTTTGGCCTTTCTTCGCCGGACCTTGGGGCTTCCCCATTCTCAGATTTGGCGGCGTTTGATTCTCCAGCTCCCAACGATGCCAAAATATTACATAATCCCACCCAACTCCACCGCTTCAACGCCCTGGGCCATTGAGACTCGAGAAACTTTTGAGACACGGGAGGTTGGCACAACCTTGAGGGTTTCTGCCCGCTTCCCAAGTTCCCCGGCTCGCCGCAAAACGCTGGATTTCCCCCGTGATCGCTGGTGATAAATCGCGGCATCATTTGCAACTCTAGCCGGTATCCTATTCCCGCCGGTGACCTCTGGATATTGGATAATGACTGAGTTCATGTGCATTCATGTGTCTGTTGGCAATGAAAGCATTCAACAATGATTTGCAGCAATGAATGGGCAATTGCATGTCATTGTTTTCTCATTTAAATTCAAGGGCCTTCATACACCAGGCTAAGAAGTGAAAAGTAACAGGTATACGGATAACTTGTAGGTGCGTTCAATACCCCTTCCAAATCCAATGAGCAAATGGTCACTGAATCGAACAAACGATGCCCGAATTTATATGCGATAAATGGAATCTGGTACATATGGTCAATGGGAGCTTTGAGCTAACGTTGATAAGAGTCTTGCAGCATGATCTGGAATGTCAAGGTGTGGCTCCGGCTACTAGTAGTGACTACGAGAATCAAGAAGTCACCCGGATGCTCTTCTCGAGCCTGCGGCTTAAGGATGCCTTTGTTACTACTCAGTTGGTATCGATCCCTTTCCTGCTATGTGCAAACGGTCCTATCGACTCCTATCATGATGACTGTTGGCCAGCTAAACGTCAGCCAATATGACCTTTTCAGGAGGCTGATTCTGTACTTCTCCTCGCCCCTGGGTCCGAGAGATTGAGGCCGTCCACGAATTTTGCCCTCGTCGTCGTCGGTCAATCATTCAGCCCAGGGTCGCCTATCAACCCAATCCCGTATATGGTATTCGGGATCCTCGCTGGTATTCCGATCTAAGAGGAGCCGGTCGAGAAGTGACATTCTCTCCTCTGAAGGTTTCCATGAAGCAAAGGGACGGAAAGAAAAGGCAGGTTAATCCCCTTCCTCCATAGATCTTTGGCCACCTGCCTATACCTTTCCTGCTCCTCTTCATTTTCATATTCCTCATCAGGGGCTTTACCATGACCCGCAGCGAGCCAGTCGCTCGTCACGTCCTGTCCGTCTCGGACATCTCGGTTGTAGCCCACCCATATCCCTCAGCGTATTCATTCCCCCCCAAACGGTCCTGGACAATCAATGTTCAACCGCTGCTCCCAGCCCAGCCGCCCATACTCAATATCATAGCCAAAAACTGGATCGTGCCAAGGAACAACGACGGCCTCGTTCACCTCGTGGTCCACCCCAGTTCCGCGCTGCCACCCGTCCGGACCCAGCTGCGCGCGCAACAGTTCGGTCTCGAATTAATACCCGTGCCCATGCCCATTTATCAACAGGGGCAAGGACCACGGCGATGGGGCATAGGGAGTAGGGTTGCTTGATACGGGACCGGCGACCGAGCTGTCTGAGACTCGCACCTCGTCTTGGGACATGAACCCTGCCGGGGTGGGCCATTCGCATTCTGTTGTACCTGTGGCGGCGGGGATGAAGGTAGTCGTGGAGGTGATATTCCCCATGCTACTTATGGCAACATTCTTTCCGCCTTCCCCATGAGCCCAGTCTTGGCTCCGAAATTTGGTTCTGCGAACAATCGCGCGGGCGACTGTCTCCCTGAGGAAGGAAGCCGATGTCCCCCGAGAATGACTTGTAAGGCGGGGAGAACGAGGATGAATAGCGTTCATGCCGCGGTTGTGAAAGAAGGCGAGGCCCGCTTTCCTTCCCCAGGTGGCATCCTCCAGGACCCCAGCCAGCTTGAGCATCTCCCGCAGAGGACTGCAGTTGAATGCTGCGGCGACGTGATTGACGTTGATGTTGACGGCGCTGCCGCTCAGGGGATGCATGGCGAGGGCGAAATCCAGTGCCGGGCTTTGCGATTGACGGAGTTGGAGAAGAAACTCGATCGTGTGCGTGTCCGTCAACAAGCGCTCCGCCCTAATAAAGAAGTTAGCACTAAGAGACGCACCGTACCAGGATTCAATGATCGGATGCTTACGAAATGTCTGCCTCTTCGATCCTGGCGATTGGGCTCCTGTCCTCCATCCCAAGTCTAGCAGCACTGCGGCTGGTCGGGGTTGTTTTGATGCAAGTCTCAACCTTCTCGGAAGGTCTTAGCACTTGGTTTGTTTCCCACTGGGCATCCTTCTGCTTCTTCTGCACCTCCTCTTGCTTCTCGATCTTGGCCTTCAGCTCTTCGGCTTCGGTCTCCGGTATGTCTGCCTTGGGGCCAGCGAATTCGGCAGCCGTCTTGGGGACAAGAGGTGATCTCGCGATACCGAAGCTCTCAGCATCGGTCAACTGGCGAATGAGGTCCATGAGAATCCGCCCCTGCTTGCTCATCGAGATCCTGTTCCGGACCTTTGGAAGTCCAAAATCGTATGCTTCGGAGATTTTGCCTTTGTCTGGTATGTGCGTCTCCCATAATTCAGGCTTCGAAAATATGTTTGGATGAAGTGTTCATACTTGGCGGAAGGTTGGAAGATGATTGAGGGCTTATATCGCAGAGTCAGATAAACTACTACTTCGAAGTTAGATTCAGTTGAGGAAGACCTCCAGTTCCTGATGTTATCCATCAACTCAGTCAATAGTGCGAGGGGTTCGTAGCAAGGCTGAAAGGCGGACAACACTAACATTAAATCCGACTGTTAGGCAGGGGCTATGCCATTGTAGGAACTTTTTTGATCAGAAGCCTTGAGGTCCGGACTCAATATGTGTCACCAGTCTTGGTTGGGAATGTCTTTCTGATGATTGTGACTGCTACAGCCGTGTCGATGAGCGTCGAGCGTGCAGAAAGCAATGACGCTAATGGATTAGAGATGATGAATACAACAAACGAACTCCCTGGTCGATCGGATGGAATGGATTCTATTGTGCAAGCGGTGCTATTCCGATAGATACCGGGTCAGTATATACTATATAGGTACTAGTACTTAGCTGTGTACACGCCCAGCATCCGCAAACCTTTCTCCAAACATGGAGACAATAGACCCATTGTGCAGGTCGCAATCAGAAGAAAGAAGAGGCCAGCATGCCATTCTTACGAAGCCATCTCGCCGAGAATTGCTATCGCTATGTGCGGCGCCGAGCACTTGGAAACATGTGCTGGCAGCTGCATCGCATTTCTACATGGTGGAAAATCAAAGGAATCAATGACACGAATGGCTCGACTCAAAAACACATTTACAGTGACAGCAAGTGATCATGATACTACTAGGTAGTACGTAGTCTCGTTCCCTTGACATTGTCTACCTACCTAGGTGTCTTCATGTCCCTTTCACAGCCAGTTCAATCTTTCTTTGCTTGCTCCGATTTCCTTGGAGCATTATCCGATTTGGAGCAGATGACGCTGGGTCAGAGACTCAAGAAGCAAGGTAGCTGAACAAGTTTCTCAACCTGCTATCCGGGAGAGAAGATAAGTCGAGCTGGAAAGAAGTAAGTTGAAACAACAGGCCGCTGCTTCCATACCAAGATCCAGAGCGCCGCTTGTGACTGCCCCTTCCGGTTTGAACTTCGTAAGTAGGCAGTTGCTCTTACCAAACGACGGGAGTCATGATTTTCGAGCCACGTGTCTTTCCAAACAGATTTCTTCCAGCAACTTACTTGATGCGAGCCGTCGAGAGACTGATGATAGGCGCCTACCTTCCTCTTTTTTTTTTTTTTTTTTTT